GGGGCTGGCCCGGGCGCCCGCTCCCCGCTCGGGTTCTGCTGCACCACAGGCTGCCCCGGGCCCGGGGGCAGCCTCTGACCTGCCCCACGACTGCTGGTGCAAGGAACCCCGCGCGTGGAGGGCGACGCCGAGAGAGGCTTTGTAATATTTCATATACATTGCTGCAGCCTTGAAAACAGTGCCAGGGAAGACAAAGCCTACACATGTGGATTTCATGTGAAATGTATTAAAAGTACCCTGTTTTCAGCAGGGAGCAGATGTTAGCTCTTTAGAGCACAAGTTGTGGAGGGGTCTGCTGACTGCAGCATCGCTCCTATGAACACCCAGGAAAATCCAGGATTTGGAAGTGCCGTTTGTTTTTGTTCTGCTCTCCATGTTGTAGCACAGAATTGAAATTCTGCAAGTTGCAGCAAGGAACATGTTATGTGAGTAGTCTTCTAGCAAAAAGGAATAGCTGCATTTATATTGTGTATTTTCAGGACTGAAGCCAAAGAATCTGTCACCACTAAGCACCATCTACCTGTCTTTGAACTGTTAAAAACTGTCTATGTGGTAGAAATTCTGGGGTGGTGCTCTCTAATATGCTGAAATAATCTGCCCTGAGGGTTTTTGTTTCTGTTTCTCCGCCTGCTCCTCTCTGTAGTGTAATAATAGACTTTGGCAAGTCGCATTAAAAGCTTGTAATTCAAATGAGGAGCTGTTGGACGGGACTAGGTGAGTCCTTTAGTAATAAACTCCTATTGCTTTGGAGCCAGTTACAAAGGTAGGTGCACAAAACCTGGGAAAGCTTTAAGCCTTGTAAGGAAAGACAAGGGGAAAAAAGGAGGCTGCAGATATGAGAGTTTTCTTGGATGCTGAGCAGATGTGTCGCTGCTTGGAGTGCATTAGGGAGAAGTAAATAAGTACCTGCAAGGCAGTATCTCCGGTTGGGCTGAATAATGCATTGTGCCTTTCTAATAATAGCTGTGTGACCTGTAGACCCAGGAGAGCCTGAGTCCGGTGGGAGAGCAACAAACAGGAAAACAAGCTGCGTAGTGAAGTGTGTGCGCTATCTTGACGTGCTTAACGGCTGCGTTATTTTATGGTGTTTAACTTTATTTGTACTCACATGACACTGCATCTGAGTCATGGTAATGACTGGTTGAGTGGACTACTGAATTTTGCAGCTGATGAAAAATTGAGTAATTGTGGAAAAGAGAACACATTCCAACATATGCTAAATTCACTTGTTTGCCAAGTGTAATTATTGCAGTTATTATAATGCTGAATATGGTATTTCTGTGCTAGTTTCTGTAGTATTTTTGTAAGATTTTCAAAGTCCACAGTATAGTACTCCAACTCTTTAAAAACTGAGGAGAAACTCTCCTTATTACAAACAACAAAAAAAAAAAGAACAAAAAAGGACTATATTGGTTAACATCAAACGTCTCTAAATGTATTCCAGTAAGAGAGAATGTTACAGGAAAGATTACCATGCACATACCTTGCTAAGCGTCTGGATTTGTATTAAGATGCGTACACGATTGTCAGGAAAGAAGTATCAGTTGAAGACGGATGTTGCCACTTACTCTAGTCTTCAGTTTAGGGGCTTTCTGCTAGTTCTGAGTGGTGTAGCATGAGCTGTAACTTTCAGGCATCATGGTTGACCTGATGGCTTTTCCAAATATATGTTTTGAAGTGTGTAAAGAAGAAAGAACAGAAAAGGAGGGGAAAATGACTGAAAATAGAGGCTCAGATAATTGTAGGCTCTCTGATTGTGTTGAAAAGTTGCTTTTCTCATTCAAAATACTGTTACTGGAGTTGTTACAAGGTGAAGTGACACCTGACAGCTTAGGCATATGGAATAATTTAAAGGGAGTGGTAGATGAAAAGAATAATTCTAATTTGCACTTATTAATATTGCCAGGGACTGTGCCATAAAGTGTCCTCTAAAGGGTGCTCTGTAGAAATGGAGTATGAGGTTAATGATTCATGTGCCGTATCGCACAGCTCTTTTTAATCTCATCTTGACTCTTTCTACCTTGGCTCCCATGAAAGGTTGAGTAGTTCTTTGGTTTTTGTTAATTTGATAATGGGCATTCAGACTTAAAAATATATTTTAATTCCTTGGGAGTTCTTATTAATACACAGATCTAACTTTAGCAATATAACTGTCTGCTGTTAGTCATTAATATTAAATTTGAAGAATAGTGAGAAGGTGATAGAATAGATGCATGCAGAAGAACTTGGTATTGAATTGATTCTCCCTTTTTGAATGCCTGGGTTGCCTGCTTGCCCGATTGTTTTGGAGCTGTTCTTCTGGTGGTCTTTTTGTCAGGCCACCAGGTAAGATATGAGAAAACCAGGCAGGATCCCAGTGGGATCTTTCCATCAGGATCCTGCCAGATTTCCACACATGCTTTATTTAAGGTAAAATATATCACCTTTAACAGCTGGGGCAATTGATGTGAAAAATTGTCCCTACCTCGTTTTTCTGGCATGGATGGTAGTTGGGGTTGGTTTACCTGGAACAGTAAGGTTACAGAACAGCCTTGCGAGGGAGGCTGCATGTGGAGAGGAAATAAAGAGAACAAGAAAAGCCAGCGCCATTTGGAACTGGGTGGCACTTGTGATGGATGGTGACTGGCGTCTGCGGTTAGGACAGTCCTACTAGACTCACTTTCCTAACTTATCTGTTCCTACAGACAAAATTCTGCCTTAAAAATACACGAGGCTGCTGCTGATAAAGCTTCTACTTTATCTTCTGCTGAAGATGAAGCTTTTGCTCGGGCAGCCTGTGAGCGGCTGCGCGATGGGGCAGCCCGGCCCTGCGCCCTCCGTGCCGCGGGAGCCGCCTGCTGCACGGCGCCTTCCTGGGTTCCCGTTCTTGAATATAAGGTGTTTGATCTTGTGGAGAGCTGCTGAATGACGGGAAAACTGGGGGCTTATGGTGCTTTTCCAGAAATTAGTTACTAAGTCCACTAAAATTGGTCTGCTATTGGAATTTATTGCAAAGAAGACCTAAAAAGTCAAGAAGCCTGTAATACATATCTATGTGGATGATAAGGCTGTTGGGAATTGTTACTATTAATTATATTAGGAAGAGTAGTACCATCTGTTTCAAGGCGTAAGGTAATTGCTAACAACTCGAATCAGGTTGAAAACTAATATGATGCGTCCAGTTACCTCATATTTAATTATTGGAGCATTCTGATGCTTTCAGCTTGGTGTCTCATGCCAGAGATGAGGATTAGCTGGGTCCCCCCATTGCTCCCCTGAACCCCCGCTCCGTCTCCTGTGGCTTGTTGCTCCTCTGCGTCTGAACAACCGTGTCATCTTATTCCACTTGGAATGGAGGTTCTTAGGGCAGGGAACCAGGCACTCTGGTAGTAATGGAAGTAACTACTAGCTACTGAATGTGATTAGGAAGAAGTTTGGATTTCTTTCATGTTAGTTGTAATGAGGTTTGGCTTTATGTAAATACAGTAATAACTTAGCTAGAGGAGGTTAGAACACTAAATGTCGTTGTGTCTTATCTATTGCACAGCAAGGTCATTCCACTCTCCTGTTGCATACTGCAATCATGTTGGTAGATGATAGTCATCCTGTAATCAACAGGATCTTCCACGTTTTCTTCTCTTCTAATTCTCAAAACAAGAAATAGACATTTATGTGACAAAATCTGACTCTGTAAGTGCGTGTGATTTTGCATAGTGTGCATTGGGCTCTGACTGCCAGTGGAGTTGGTAGCTTCTTATTCAGAAGGTCTTAATGATTTCATCAAGAAAGCCAAAAATAATTGTTATCCATCTTAGAAGTACTGTGAAAATGTCATTTAAAAGGATCAAACTTACCATGTATATGCAGGTACTTAGAAATCCAGTTTAGATGCACTCTGGCTTTTCCTTGGGCCTGAAAGCCTTGTTTCTCTTTCAAAGTATTTCTGTTTAAAAGCTTTGGATCTGTTGTGTGGGATACTTTGATGTGGACATTTACCACCAAAGGAAGAATGATGAGATGACACTGTTTTCTTTTTAATGCTTTTGTGTCCAACTAAAGAAGTTGTCTTACTACAGCAGAGAGATGATTTTTAGTTTCTTTCGTAGTGTATTTTAAATATAGTTTCTTGTTGTCCTACTGTCATTATGAACTCCAGATTCCAGTTTTAAGTTTCTCTCTGGGATAGTGCATAGTTTTAATTCTGCTTTCTGAAGAGAGTTCAATAATTTCTGTAATATTTTTCTTGTGCCATAGTAAGTTGGTGAAATGGAACTAGATGCATTGTGCTAATTGCAGATGCTGCAGTGAGAACCGTCCTTTACTGGAATTCTGTTTTGGAATGCTGCCCTCTTAATCTTTCTCATCTTCTCTGTAGACTTTTATCTTATGCTTATGAGCCTTCCTAGTGACTTAATGAGTATTTTGAGTTAAGGAGGCAAGGAGAAGGGCCTGAGAAATTTAAGAGGATTTGTGTTTTTTTTTTTTTTTTCTTGTAACCCAACTAGCTTGGGAACCAGTTACTATTGATGCCAGTTAATGCATCTTTTTTCAAATCAATTTGTATGCTTTTTAGTAGTCATCATCCCATGCTCAAAATTGTGTTTTGGAATTACCTTGGTCTTAAGCCTCAGCAAAAAGTTCTGTACTAACGTTTTTGCATGCAGAAAGTACCATATGCACAATGGATGATGAATAAATGTCTTTACAACTGCTGCTGATCTATAATGATAGGGATTATTCTTGCTAAATTACAGCTGCACAAAGTTATTTTTAATTATTAAAAACTAAAAGTTATTTAACATTAGGATGGCTTGTTAGTGATTTGTTTCCAGTACATGGAGGGGATATTTAGGTGTTTTTAGTACTTTTGTACTCAGAATAACAGGCAGGTGAAAGCAAAGGCAGGACAGCTCAAAGCATCTGCACTTAGGAGGTCTCAACCATTATCTTGCTTGGTAGATACCCTGGGTGAGATTTGTTGTCAGGCTGCAGCATGTTATTAGAAGGGCATAAAGGCTGAAATGGGGCTTCAGGTAAGCAGAGCAGCTTCTAGAGTTTTAATCTTTGTTGTATGCAAACTAAATTGGGGCTTATAATTTCAGATGTCACAGTTCTGACTGATTTTAGAGTCTGATACTTAATGCATGTGGAAGAATATGATGAATTCCTACCCAGGCAAGTGTCTTTGTCATTATCTGCAAATACACTTCTTTGGTATGTAACTTGATATTCAGATGTTGTTGTTGAGCAAGACACTTTTTGATTTTTTTTCTCTTGTATTTATGTTCATGAAAGGTTTAGCTTGCAAGTCAACTAGACTTGTTCTTCGTAGTCTCCTTTGTTACAGGAAGGAGCTTAAATGCACAGCAACAGTGCATGTGGTATGTGGAAGTATGTCCTGTGCTTAGATCTGGAATTGGATACAGTGATATTGCAAGTTTCATTTAAAGGAAACATTCATGTTTTTTTCTTTTTTTTCCCCAAATACTGCAAATCTCCCAGTCATGTAGTGGTACTCTTGGGATGTTCTGGCAATTACTTGACAAGTTATTTTATAAATGGACTACAGGTATTTCCATGTTAGTCATTTTTTTTGGTCCTGTACTTTGAAAACTGAAAGGTTTGTACAAGAAAGCAAGCACCAAGCACAGATGTTGTGAATTTCATGGAAGAGTTAAATGTTAAGAATCTTAAACTTAAGCAATGTTGGCCTTATTAAATTATTTCCGTTCTAGCGATTAATGCTACCATTTGAATATTGAAAAGAAGCAAATTTGGTACTTGATCTTTTACTCTTGTAAAAGAAGCTAATAATTGCATTTAACTATCTTGGTAGAAGCTATTTTTGTCTAATATAGGTAAAGCCTTTTAGTAAACACTGAAATTGTCCAATTTTAAATGAATTTTAAATGATGGCATCACTTACAGATATCTTCCAAGTATTTTGTTAAAAAAAAGCACACTTTGCAATGAGTTAAACCATTTTCCTGTAATTCTGGAAGAACATCTAGCTCATGGTGATAGTCCAGTAAGGATCCTGACTTGAAAGACTGAGAAATTATTGCTAGAGCCTTAAGGCTTTTGTGGTGTTAACAACCTTTTATAGTGTTGTAGTGTGCCAAATATGTTTGCAGTCTTCAGGCAGAGCTGTTCCTTGGTTATAAAATCACAGGTAGGTGGATTTGCTGTTATGCACTGAAGGTTTGCTAGCTCTCTTCTACTTTGGGTGAGATATTACTGTATAATAGTTTTAAGACAACCTTAAGCAGCAAGACAAAGTTGAAAGTTTTATGCATTCCCCACTGCAGCTGGCAGTGCTCTTTAATGTTCTGGCCTACATCTTTTTTTTTAATGTTCTGTTTTACCAGTTTGTCTAGACTATTTTTGCCTTTTAAGGCATGGCATCTAAGGGGGCCTTGAGATTGCAATCTTGGGAACATTGGGATTGCAGGGACATTTTGCACCATTTCCTTTCAACAAAAACAAAAAGCTTTAATGGATTCCTTAGGACTACTTTAAGTTCTTGACTGTTTTCTCATTAAAATTCCTTTCTTGTTTTAGTATTTGTGAGATGTTTGATGTTTACTTGTAATTGAGATTAAACAGAATTTTCAAGGATACGGAGTTATTCTGGTAGTCTTAAAATGGTACTTTCCCTTTCAAAAATAACCTAACAGCCTAGTTAAACATGATGCAGTGCAGAGCTAATACATTAACAAATGTTATGAGTACACCTTTACTTTTTAAAACCAATGAATTTATCCTACTGTTTGTCACAGAATTTACAGTACTGTGTTTTAGTATTGTTTTGACTAGCCCGTGTGCCAGCCCGGGTTGGGCTATGCCCAAGAATGGGATGGTGAAGCCAGCTTAGAAATGTTGATTTTTGCTTTTTGAAGAACTACAGTGAGCGTTCTCACAAGTGAAGGAATACCCACACTTTTTGTGTTTTGTTTAATGATCACAGAAACATCATCTTAGTAACTTAGGAGTTCCAGGTGGGAGCAAGTATGTGTGTACTGTACAGAACTGACACATGCAGCCTGAAGACAGGAATAAGACTCCATGATCCTAGATATTTTAATAGCAAAGGTGTGATAAGTTGAGGGTTTTTACAGCTTGAAATAATAACAAATGCTGAAAATGGACTGGGACAGATAGTGCACCCTTGGTGCAATATAAGTAATAGGAGGTTGGAAAAATAAGATACTTCCCTGGGACAAACATATGTTCTCTAACTCATTCAAAAAGAAGCTTTTCTTGCATTTTGGAAACCTGCAGTGGAAGAGTATAATTTTCAACCCGAATTACCTTTATTAGTATGATTTCATTTAGTTTGTGGGTGGTTAGTAATGTACTGGTGATGTTTGAGGGCTGCCAGCCAAGTGGTATCAATCTGTTTGTTTTTCAGATTACTTTCTCTTTAATTCTTTCCTAATTTTTGTAATTTAGGTAAATTAGAAATCAAAATAGAAGATACTGAATTATGAAAAGCTGATCCTTAAGCTTGCTTCATAGTGATTCTTAAACTAATAAATGCTAAAACAAAACCAGTGACTTTCAATGAAACTATTGTACTAGTATTTAAGACACTAAAACAACTAGCATACAAGAATTACTGTTCATTTTCAGGAAAAGCTGTTTCATCTTTGAATGCGAGATGGTGCCATAGTAGTAACACTAATGAAAAATAAACTTTTGACGTTTTCCGATTCTAAGCTTTAGACTTGGAACTTTAGTCTTGTATGATTTTTTTAATATATTATCAGGTTGAGGGAAACGTTTATTAAGTAATTCTGGATGTGGTGCTCTTGTGAAGGAATTTGTAGGGCCAGTTAACCTTTGTGACACTGTGACCAGTTGATTTTCTCATTTTTCAGCCTGTTTGTTTCAAAAGGTGATGTTTTGTCCTTTAAGGCCTGATAATAGGCCCTTGGTGAGTTTTTTCAGATCGGGTCTCCTCTTGTTTCTGTTAACAGTTCTATTACCCATATTATTTATGTTAACTCTCAAACTAGTAGACTTTCTCTGTATCTCCTTTCCTTTTCTGGCTACTAGAAGCATAAATGGAGAGATTGTTAAATATGTGTAATTTAAACCCGAAGATATGTCTTCCCTTGCCTTAATGACTAAGAGTGATGACAACTAAAACTATTTATTTATTTTTAGCTTAACTGTTTAGATAGGTTTTTTCCCCATTTTTTGAGTAGGGATTTTCAGGAAAATGTTGTGTTCATCCCTCTCATGCCTAATGCATAAGCTGTCAGTGCCTAAGGAAGAGTCAAAGCAGTCAATATAGCCGAGATCTAATGCAGCCCTGAAGAAATACATGGTATTTTTGACCTATTTATGCATAGGATATCTGAGAGCACACTATGCAAATGCTATTCAAGTAATGAGAAAATTAGACTTGAAACTTAATAGCTTTACGTCTTAAGAATTTCCACTTGTATTATGTGTCTGCTTGTTTATGCTTTTCATGAACACTCCAGGCTGCTTTCACCAAGTTGGACATGGAAGCGTTACAGCAGCTGGTGGGTTGTAACAGAGCGAGGTTGTTTTGCATGGAGACAAGTCCCGTGGGGCTGCCTTTGGGCATGGGTGACACCGAGGCTCCCGATCCAGCCAGTGAGGAGAGTTTCTGACTGACTTTTGAGCTTAGTATCCATCCATCCGCGTGGATACTAGAGCACGTGTTGGTCAGGGTGACTGGGTTTGGTTCGTTAGGAAAATGTTGGTGCTTTGGTTGGGGGTGACTACACGAGAGGCAGTGTTGCCTGCAGACTCGTGCAAAGCAGAGCTAAGCAGAGCCATCCCAAGGGCCAGTGTTGGAGGTGTTGTGGGACCCGCAGCCTGGTCTTGGTGCGATGACTCTTAGTGCTGTCTTGTCCGGTGGGCTTGGTGCCACAGTAGGTGTTATGGGCAGGACATGAAGAGCCACTCGAGCAGAGACCTCCCTCCTTGGGAGAAGAGGATGGAGATGGAGGACGAGGACACAGCCCCGTCTGCCACAGCCCAAGGCACAAGTCCAGGATCGTGCATCTGCAAGACCTTGTGTGCCCAGTGCTTTAAATTGCAAATGGTTCAAGGAACAAGGAAGTCACCAGTTACTAATGCAGAATAAGCTGATGTTTTCCTCTTTGACGTTCAGTGTCATCAGTGTCTGCCCTGAGCTGTAGCATGGGAACAGAGGAACTTGTGTGAATTCAAATGTCTTAAGTGTGAATTCAAATGTCTTAAGTGTGAATTCAAATGTCTTAAGTGTGAATTCAAATGTCTTAAGTGTGAATTCAAATGTCTTAAGTGTGAATTGCCACAATCCCATGGGCAAGGGAGACACCCTGGAGTGGTGGTAGCGCTTGGGCCTGGTAAGAAGACGTGTTTGGGCCTGGTAATGCTCGAGTTGTTTGGCTTAGCAATAACAATAAGAACTGGCTGCACTTGTTTTTCAAAAGCCCGTCCATAATACTGTTGATTAGTAGTATTTAAATGGAAATTAACATTTCCATTTCCAACTGCTACATACTGTAGCAGTTAGGAGTATTTGTTATATAGGTGTTTCTAAGCATTAAACAAAATGCTGTATTGAAACCTGCTTAGCAGGAAATAAGCTACTGCTTCACCTATGCAGGTCTTTTTTATTCACTTGAAAAGCTATTACATGTGTATTTTAACTAGCTGAGCATCTCTTGTTCACCTCATTTCAGCACAATTTTTTTTTTTTTTTGAATAAGTTGAAGTTCTGGTGCACTTTACTCAGTGTTTCACAGTAGATATCATTCTTTTAACTAAATGAATCTTTCCCTTGTTCTTCGATATAATTCTAGACCATAATGTGCCATCAGAATGTTTTTGGTCTTGGAAATATGTTCTGCATTTAGAGTTGGTCTTATGCCTAAGTTGAGAAAAGGAAGTCAGCAGTCGTTGAACTTTCAAGGATTAGAGAAAATTGATGGAAGCGGCACAAGATCAGATGATTTAGTAAGAATTTCGCAATATTTAGTGGGCAGAAATCTCACCATGGTATGTCCAAAATGAAGCTACGAAACTGAAAACGTAAAAGATCATAGGTTCACAGACAGCACCAGAAGGACAGTGAAGATCTGAGGCTAGACTATTGCAGTCATTTCTATTGTCACACCAAAAATAGAATAAACTTTTAGTTTATCCAGGATGCTGAACTACTTGGGCTTGTTCGGTAAGCATCATTTTCCTCATTTGTTTTAACAAAAGACAAACAGGTTTTTTTTTTAATTGAAGTTCCTTGCAGTCCAATTCCAAGAGTTAATAGCATAGTTCCTTAGTCCTAAGGATACAGAGAAGGAACAGGCAGGAAATCAGTCATTCTTCTGTTTGGGGTAAAAGATGGTTTCCTCTGGAGAAACAGGGCTGTGTTTAAGCCATATGATCCAAAATATTCATAGCTGTGCCAGCTGTTTTAGATGTGGGAAATGCATGTGCTTTGCAAGGAATGAGACCCACTTGGTTTCATACATTAAGTCAGCACTGCTGGGCCAAGTAAATGAGAGCAATAAATCTAAAATTTAATTCAAGAAAGTTTAATGTCTTCGGATACTTTAAGTGGTGTAAAAGCAATTTATTTCTTCTCTGCTTTGTGCATACATATTGTGCCGTACCATTAATTTAAACAGTCTGGATATAAAAATGCCTTGGTAGTGTGACATTCTTGCTAAAGTTTTGTGGGTATTTTTCAGGCAGAAAAAATGCTGACCATTTTGTGGTTTTTCAGAAACCATGTGTAATTATGTCATTTAACCGCACAATAAGGCTTTCTGTGGTACATTTTAGATAAACAGGAAAACTCATTTTTTACTTTGTTTTTATTACAGAACTATCTTTTTTTATTTTTAGTGCTAAAGTTGTTTGATATTTTTTTCAAAAATAAAATGCAGCATGCTTCTTCTTTCCCAGGAAAAAGAATACACCGTTAGCAACCCCCTAAAAGCTCCTTTTCACGTTTGGTGCCTGCGACGCCACGATTTGCACATTTTACTGAAATGGTGTTTTATGTCTTAGAATGCCTGCATTGCCAAAAGATGATGTAAATAGAAGCCCAGTACTTAGCCCAAAGGCAGATGATTTCTTCATTAAGGGCTCCTCTCCAGGGAGATGTACAGGAAACTTGGGATGAGGAACATGATGGCACGAGGCTGATGTGCTTCCATTGAAGGCCATTGAACCGCAGTGCAGAGGCTCTTACCAGTGTTAAGTGGCCGTAAGTCCTGGTGGCTTCGTTCGCTTCCAGTGAGGGGCTGAACAGAGCCTGTGCGTGAGGGCTCAGTCATCTTCAAGATTTCAGATTTTACGTGGATCCTACACCTCGCTCGTTCAAGGCAACATGGGGGTGGTAGCCTGGAGTCCCTCTGCATGGACTCACGGCTCTAGGAGCATCAAATGATGTTTCCGTGTCATGTCTACTCATCTCTCAAGAAGAGTCTGAAAAGACAAGATCGGTTAGAGTGGAAGAGAAAAATCCCTAGTTTTTCTCACTTTGCAGAATATCAACTGAGCAGTTTTATTTCATCAGAGAAAAATTTTTCCACCGACTCTGCCCAAAGATGCTGTGGCTGGTCACTTCTGGGAGAGAGCGGGAATCCAGGGAAAAGGACGTGCCCACCACACCAGTGGATGGAGTGGGGCAGTTGGGAAGCTGCCTCAGTGCTCGTTCCGGGAATCTTATGTGTTCACAGACTAGTTCACTTTTCCATCAGGAATAAAATGGGCTTCATTTCAGAAGGAAATCAATAGTGAAAAAGTGAAAGGGCATCCATGTGCAGTGTGGGTTTTAGTTACCTATTTGTTTTTTAGAAGATTGACATTATTTATAGCTAATTGGAAGGATGCTTCTGGCAGACTTAAAAATGTGTAGGAGGATGATTGTCCTGATGTGTCAGCGAGCAGATATTTTCTGTTGCAGCCTGTTTTTTTTCCTCTTGTTGAAAATGAGACATATCTGTGGGAGGATAGGGGTTTTTTTTTGATGTGATAATTCAGATTTTATTTTTAGATGTAGTGTTCATTGAGATATAAATAGTAGATAATGAACAGAAAGGCATTATCAAGGCATTGGTAGGAAGGGAGATCTTTGGGGCAGGTTAACTGTATTCTCACAAGGGTAAGGCATCGATGTGGAGCCTGATTTGCTGTGCAGTGTGATGCAGCTGAACGCTGTGTGCCCGGGGCCGCGTCCTCCTTGCCCGGGCTGCCCGGCTCCCCTGGGCACTGCAGTAGCGTCGTGCACGGAGACACCTCCCAGCCGGCAGCGTCCCCTTTGTGGCCCAGTCACCCGTCGGGAATTGGGGCAATTGAGGTTATCTTTCTCCCACGTCGCCCCCTGAACACGTCGGTGGGCTGCAGGCCGCTGGAATACTGTGTGATGGTGCTGGAGCGTGTTCACTGGTGTTTGGCGGTAGCCTCGGGTGCCTTTTTGGTGCACATCTAACTCACCTCTGCTTCTGTAGAAACTTTGGCCTTTTGAGAGCCTTGTATGTCAAGGTGAGTGTGTTGGCCTGGGAGATCAATGGCATCTGGTGTGAAAAAGGCAGATTTCTGCAGCCGGAGAACTGCGGCCGCGTGTGCTGAGGAGGCGCTGCCCAGGGCAGCGAGCGCCGGGCGGGATGTCCACGCCGCCCAGCCTGGTGTTGGTGGCACAGCTGAGAGCTGGTCGTGGCGTTTGGACTTGTACTAGAGTATTGCTATAGACTACTGCAAAAATACTTATTTTAAAACAATATGAATGCTAGAAGTATTGTAATAAATCCACAAATAGTGGCAAGAACACTGGAGACTTAACTTTTAGATGTTTCAGTATAATAAAAATCTTGCCAGTTAATGCTGAGTATTAATCTTTGACATTGTTTCTGCTTAAAAAAATTAAGATACTTGTTAGATGTTAACTTTCTTTCGATGTTGGAGGCACTATTGTTCAGTTATAAAGCCTCTGTTCACATCCTCACAAAGTAATAATGTAAAATGAAGCTGGGGGTTGCACAGAATATTTTTATTTTTAATGTCATTACTGAATAGAAGAAAAGAGTTTGTTTTCTATTTTTGAATGTTTAATTTCAGTGAATATTCTTTATTCATTGGAGTTTTTCAATGGGAAAGGCAAATCCAAAGTTACTCTTTGTTTTTGAAGGCGTTTACCTTTCAGAATTTGACGACCAGAACAGCCTGCTCTGTTAAGTAGCAAATATTAGCACAGGTCATGCACTCCTAAAGAAGTGTTAAATAAACTGTAATAAAAAAGCATTAGAAGAAAGAGTGAATGTGCAAAACACTATTGAAATATGCAGAGAACAATTTAGCAGATTTTTTTTGCGTTGGAGCTTTTTGTTGGGGCCACTATTTAACTTTTTTTTTTTTCCAACTTAAGTGTTATTTGTGCAAAACACTGCAATGGAGATTTTTAGTTTTAAAGAGACTTTCTCGTTAAGTTCTTTATCCTCAAATTTAAGTGATTTGGCTAAAATCATCAGGATTTTATGGCAAAGCAAGAGCAGTAATTCTTTCTGAGAAATGTTGAGTGGGTAGGCAAGCAGTTGTCTTGGAAAACAAGGCAAAACAGTGTTATGGCCTGGCATGAAAATGAGAAAAGTGTCCTGTTTATTTTGCTGCTGTGTTTGAAGTGTGGGAATGTGCTTACATACCTCTCCTACTGTACAGGAACAAATGGTAGCTAACGTTGCTATAGATTTATTATATTTTAGTTTTATGCATTGGACACATGTAGCAAGTTCTACTGTTATAGCCTGACTATCAAATTAAACTCCGTCTTGCAGAATGCTGCTTTTCTCTGAGCTTTATCACCAAGTCTTTCTGAGCTCAGGGTGATTAGTGATTGTCCCCATTAGATGTCTCTGGTTGCAGCTCTACGACTACAGCTGTGCTTTTTCCAGACATTAGTCGCTGGTTTTGCTGCCTTATGTATAAAGACCAGTTTTATCATTTCCTTATTGCAAGTAAGCACTTTGGTTCAAAAAGAGGGAGGGGTGGGAAGATAGGCAGGCACTTTTGGGGACAGATACAGATCCTGAACCTGTTATTTTTAGTTCATTTATACTTCAAGCTGAAAGTGAATTTTAAATAGCAGTTTTATTAAAATATTTTTAAATGGCTTTTGTAATTACACTGTATTAGTACTATGTAATTGAGCTTGAGGTTAGTCTTATAGACAGATGCATTTTGTTTTCAAGTTTTGACATGATGTATCATGAGTAAAAAGATGAAATAAAACGTTTGGGGATCCCTGTTGTTTATTAAGCTAATGTCCTGAAGGGATTTCATGCCTTTTCTTGAAGTTAGACTTAGAATTTTACTAAAAAAAAGTCTTTATTGAACAGGAGATATCCAAAAAAGTCTTGCGTTAATTAGCTTTTTTTTTTGCTCTTAGACAGTACCCTGTTATAAACTAAAATTGCACATTCCTGAGTGTAAGCTGATCGTGTTCCCAATGGAAATTTCAGGAATACTTGTGGCTATTTTCAAAATGTGGAAATCTATTTATATTTTTTCCACTTGTTTTTCTTCCTAGGTTTTGGCACTGATTGCATTCATCTGCATAGAGACCATCATGGAATGCTCCCCTTGCGAAGGCCTTTATTTCTTTGAGTTTGTGAGCTGCAGTGCATTGGTGGTTACTGGAGTTCTGTTCCTTATGTTCAGTCTGAATCTTCACACAAGAATACCACAGATCAACTGGAACCTTACTGTAAGTTCCTACAAACCTTCACTCCATAAAAATGGCTGAAAAGCTTCTTAAATATAGCCTTTGAACTTTACTTTCTGCTGCTAATTTAAGAATATGCATGAGTTCTGCTTATGTTGAATGAAACGTGCGTTTTACTTAAATTTGTATTGAATACTAAAAGCAGAATGAGCAGTGAAATATGTTAAGATTAAATAAAACAGACTGTCTCCTGGTAGGTTCTTTCTGTAAGAAGGGAATTACTGCTGGTGCCAGCTGTTTGTGGATGAAGTGGATAAAAACAGTCTGTAATCATTTAATTTGGCAGATGCTATCATCAGAGTTAGGAAGTGCATTTATAAAACTTGTAAATCAAATTGAAAAGAGGAGTTAATGTTTGCTGTGGCCTGTTCTTTCTTAAGCTGTTTTTATATTGGGACAGTGCTGCATACAACTTGTTACACTACAACCCAATGATGATTTTTTTATTATTTTTAAATAAAGCTTTCCACTTTATTGAATTTCTTACATACATAACTATTAAACGTTGATTGGCAGTGTTTAATGTTCTCAAATACAAGGAGCTCTAGGAAAAGAACTGCTGGCAGTGCACATTCCTGTTGTACAAGTCTCCATTTTCATGCTTTATTAGGAGTTAAACTTTCAGATTCGGTTGCATAAACATAGGTCACAAAATCAATACAGTCACTCTAACAAATCTTATGGCTTTAAGGACGATGTTTGTATCTACATATTCTGACACTATATGTATAATACATATATATAAATGTGTCCTCATGTTCTGTTTTATTATAGTAATTTTATAAGTACTCTTGGAGATACTGTTAAAGACCTGTCTTGGAGGTTTTCTTGGCACTGTGTGTTTTTTTAATAAATTAATATTGTAATTGTTAACAATAACTTGTTTATAAGTCTAAATGACTTGTCTGAAATGAGAATGGAATGTGGAAATAGAAAGTCCTTTGTACGCTGGAGCTGTGGGACTTCTCGAGGAAGGATTTGCTAGGTGAATTTAATAGGTGGACCAAGAGCTGTGTGACTGGAGCTGTGTAGGTGGAGGAGATCCAGGTGGCTTGCAAAGCAAAACCCATGGAAGCAGTGCCGTTATTTATTGGACTGACTTTCCTTGCACATTCCGTGTCCGTTCTGCCTCTACTCCCACCATTTATCTTCACAGCAAGTGGAAAAGCAGCAGCTGCAGTGAGAAGTTAGTCTCTCTTTTCATTGCTCATCTTGTTTAACGGGCATCCCAGCAGCCTGGCCGCTGGTAACAGCAGGTGAAGCTTGTCCTTATTTACCAGAGTGCTGCGCTGCGCCAGTGCGGCGCACGGGAGCGCGGTGCCTCTGAAATGCCACACAGAACACGGGATGGTTTTGCCTGTGCGCTGTGAGCTGTTACACTCTGAGCGCTGGATACATCCAGCTTTCATTGACAGCAGGCTTGGGCAAGAAGATTTCGGGCAGGAAACCACTGAATGTTGCATGATGTCCATGATTTGGCTGAATTTAGATCTCTGGAGAGTCAGTTTAATGACTTCACCTACTCTTGCTTCTGCTTGTCATTTTTGTTCTTTTTGAGCACAGTGTTTTACTGCTCTGATCAATACATTGAATATACGTAAGCATTCCAGAAAGATCTCATGTCCCAATCCCCAGCTAAAATGAAAATGAATCAGTATATGCTAGCAGCTGACACAGCTATGCAAATTGACCAGATTTAGCTTTTTGTGGGTTTTATATTTCTAGCCATCTGGGGAAAATGAGCTTTGCTTTGATCTAATTAGAGACCTGCCAGCCGTCTTCAAAGTTTCTTGAGCTGCACATTCCACCAGAGAAAATGGAGATGGGAGGCTGGAAAGGAAACTTGCTTGGGCGCTTAGGAAAGGGGCAGATTTGCTACGGTAGGATAAAAGAACAGTCATTTGTCTGTGTTGAGTAGCACTATCAATATTATGCAGAAATGCGAAGCTAGGGAAGCTGTCAGTGGAAATTTCCATTTCCTTTATGCTTCATGGCTGAAAGGAAGCATACTCTGCGAGGATACTTGCAAGTGGCTTTGGGGAATGTAGCTCATTCTACACTGTAGGTTGCTGTCAGACTAGTTAAGCTGCTGCTTTTAAATGTTTCTATTCTGAGTTAAATAATAACTGAATGTTTATTATTATTTGTCTGAATTATTCTTTTTTATTCATTATTTGAATCACAAATTACTTAAAATTAAAGTTTGAGGTTTTGCATGCAAGCAGTGTGGATGGAAGAACTAGAGCCAAAGTAGTCAGCTGAACAGAGCTGATTGCAGTAACTTAATTGTTCTGATATTTTTGCATGCAACCTTGCCAGTCTTTGAGAGTTACCGTCGGAGTGAAGCCACAGTCATTTTGCAGTATTCTCCTTTCAGTGCTGAGAACAGAGAAGACTTGGGGGGGATAAAGAACAATGGCAAAGCAGCTCTCAATACAGGACTTTGAGAGGCTTAGATGAGGGTTTGTATGATGAGGTAAAGCTGAGTCAATACAAAAGTAAGTTATTGCATCCAGGATGCATGGAGTGTCTATGTTCCTGTGGAAGAAACTAAATCTTCCAGTATACCTTTTGACCTTTTGAGTTTTAAACATCCCTTGGAATTCTGGAAATACTTGGGATATGCGATTCTGAGCATGCAGAGTTATTAATGAGCCACCTCAAAGGGGAGACACTAATAATAAGCAGCATAATAACTCATTTAAGCTCTGCTTAGACTCTGTCCCTGGGGAGCACGACTGCAGGGTGACAGGGAGGGTCAGGTGTGTTTTTGTGGTGGTTGTATCTTTGTGTTGCCTGTAAAGTTGTTCCATCATTGCAGGATTTCTTTCCCTTAACCTTGCAGAGATGGAGCACCTTTTGTGCAAGCAGCTGGCACTGAAGTTCTGGGGGAAGAGTTTGTGGCGCCAACAAAAAGAAAGTGTTTTATTGGTCCTGGCTCTGAATAGTGTAATTACAAAGTTGCAGTTCGAAGGCCTTCACAGGGTGGTCTTGATGTTCCATTTTTTGAAAAAACATGTTGGTTTTCTTGGGCTTGCTTGCTTAGCTGTTGACTAATTGAGCAGGTCCCTACCTTAATTATTGTCAAGAGAAATGCCTCTGAGGGATAAAAAGAATACTTTAAAAAAATAAATATTGTCAGAATTCTGTGCTTCGAGTGCATGCTGTAGGTGGATAGCTAGCATTTGATGCAGCACAATGTAAATGGCAATATGTTATGGGCTAATGAATGCAAACAAAAGGTTAAAGTGCTGGAAAAGCCACATGGTTAATAATTACTGCTGATAAGGGCTGTTGCACTGTGAAGATAAGAGCTGCTCCTGTCTGCATGCAGGGCTGCTTCTCTGGAAAATGGGTATTGGGAGCAGTTAAGTGGAACTGAGAGAGAAATAGACAGGAGAACTTCAGAAAACCAAATTGAAACATAGAATACAAAAACATTCAGGAACAACGTTTCATCATTTACAGAAGTACTACTAACAGAACCAATTTTCCAACTCACAATTTTATTCTTATTTCTATTTTTATGTCTTGCATTTCTTCAAAATTATGGCTTGTCGCTGACCTTTCTGAGAGCCGGCTGAGGTTTCTGCCGGTCGCTTCCAGTGCTCCAGTTCTCTGTAGCCGTCAGGATCCTGCAGCAAGAACCAGTCTGCGGCAGTGCAGACCCCTGAGGCCGGAGTGCTGCGCGGCGCCTCGGCCAGCGCGTGAGCCCCGTGTCCCCGGTGTCCCCGGCCCTCGGCAGGGTGGCTGCTGCTGCGGTGGCGCCACTGGACACGTGGCATTGATGCTCCTGCAGTCAGTTTGGTGCCTTCTACTTCAGAGCTATTTCTTATAAACTGTATTTTCATTAGTAATTCCAGTGCAAATACTCATGCGCTGTTTAATAACATGATTACAGGGTGAAACTGTGGGAGTTGGACCAGAGAGGTTTGGTCAAGGATTGACTGGTATGTTTCTAAACTTCAGATTGACAGGTTTGTGCAGGAACAAGGGAAACTTTCCCAAACCTTGCAAATAAAATGTTGGCAGGAGAAAAATTAGAGGCTGCCTTTGCAAAAGGGGCAGGAGATGTTACTTGGAGCTCTCTGGTTTGTAGAAACTAAGTTGGGCAGCAGCAGAGCACTGGCTTTGGCCGTTAGTGTCACATTCAAGCTGTTGAAATGTGTGAACTCTTTTTGCACTCATTTAGTTGTTTTGAGCTCCTTCTATATGTAAACTCTTGGATTTAATAAGGAGGTGACAAAGCAAGCATCTAAATGCCATGGTTTTCATTAACTAATGGTGTAACGGCTCTTTTGAATAGTACATGGTCACTCGTGTAGTCCCTTCATTGCAAAATGTAGGAAAAAAAGCACAGTAGATGCTTGACTGACTGTCCCTTAAAGGTAGAGGAGAGAGGTGTGGATGAAAGTGTGTGGACATCCCCAGCAGTGGCTTGGGAATAACCAGGAAGGGATAACAAATCAATCTTCCATTAAAACCCTTTTGGAAGGGTTAAAGGGGGCAGCACCAGTCCAGTGGATTTGATTCAGCTCCTAGATTTTATTCTCCGTTCCGGATGGCAGCTTTGTACAGTGTGCTGTGGCACATCGTGCTGTCTCATGAGGTTGCTGTAATTTCAGCAGAAATTCTTTTATCTGTGTGATGTGGTTTTTACTCTGTCTATAATAGTAAGAACTGCAGCTACATCATGGCCAGATTTGAAGCAGCTCATCTTCTTTCAATTAGTTTATTCTTTTTATTGTCATAATTATTCATTTTCTCTTACATGGAAAAAAGCTACATTATTTTAGGGAGTGTCCTTTGCCTCTGGAATTCTTGCTGTGGTTCATTCTCATTTGTTTCTGTTCTGACTTCTTCCAAAACTGTCACACTGTTTTTTCCTTTCTTATCTTTCTACTCTAATAGGAAGTACCAATTTTGGACTAAAACCCACCACCAATAGTTAAATTTGTGATGTTATCACTGTGTACCTGTATGACAACATTATTAAGTGTCATTGTTCTTTATACTCCAAATAGTCTTATGTAGATATGAAAAACTGTGCTGCTTTTAGTTTTTTTAGAAACTTATTGTGTTGATCTGAAACAATTACACTAAAAGATTTTGGCATAACTATGAGAACTAAGACTACAGAAATTGATCAGTTGGAACCTCAAGGCAGATTAAATTTACTCTTTAGATTCGAACTCTTAGATTCTTGTGCTAGGAGAAATTTCATGATCTTGATAAAGAATGTGATAGAGTGTCAGTAACTGCCTTAAAAAGTTTGTCAGTGACACATCTTCGGTGTCCTGGATAGATTCATGGCAGGCACTGGCCGCCTGTTTTCAGCTGTGTGCTTTATATTCTGCAGTGTCTCAAACTTCTTAGAAGCCTTTGAGTCAACTTACGACGTAGATAGATGGTTATATGTGTTAGGTTGTGGATAGGTTCAACTGTCTGTCACAGTGTTCCCTTAGACAAGCTCCTCAAGCTGATAGATGCAGCAAGTCAGAGGTCAGCAGAACTAATAAACATATCCCACCTCTAAGCCATAGACAATTGTATGTCACGCAGTTAAGCTTCTCTGAATATAATATTAAGGAAATACAAAACTGATGTCTGGAAGAAAAGATCATCTAATTAATAAGAAATGAAAAGGTGAAATATTCAGCACATCCTTCATTATTTGCTCAGAGGCCAGCTCCCTTAAAGTTTAAAAATAAATTGAAACAACTTTTGGCTTAACCTTTCAGCTCTTGATTTGGTTATGCTATTGGTTTTCGTGTGCTTCTCTGTGCCAAACTTAGCTGATAAAGAAAAGTTAAGTTTGGCATGAAATATTAGCTGATAAAGAAAAGTTAATATTTCATGATTATTTGAACACTGGGATCTTCGTGTACACAACTCAATCTTTTTAGTATTGAAAGCAGTTTAGGTTCTTTGATTCATACTGTGAGAATTTTTTTCCGTCTTTCAAATAACCTTTGTGGCTCTTTTCTGTACCCTATCTAATTTTTCAACATACTTTTAAAAATGTGGATACCGGAACAGGACGCAGCATTCCAGTGTCCCTTACAAAGGTAAGATTTCCTCCGTGCACCTATTGTGTCCATATGTCCCGAGGAATGTGTAAGTGCTCTTCAACCCTTCCCTCCCTCCCCGCTTAGTTCACATGTTGAGGCACTTACCTAGTGTAATTCTTAAGTTTTTCTCAGAACTGTTTCTTTCGGGATTCTGTCTCCATTCTGTTAGCTGGACCATGTATTGAGTTAGTCAAATTAAAGGTCTGGCCTTTGCTTGGACTAACAGCCCTTCATTTATTGAAGGGCACAGCCAGGGCACCTGCCATCTCCTCAGTACGTGCAGTTTCAGCGTTCCTGGTGGCATGGATTTACTGCAGAAAATTACGTAAAAATGTTGACTGCTGTTGGGTGTGCTGTATATTGACAGCTGTCAATATTGTGCTGTATTTTGACAGGTTGTAGTAAGACTTTCCTGTAGTGGCTAAAGACTGGTGAGACCTGAGAGGCAGAGCTCTTAGTGGAGACCCTAGTGCCATGTGCAGTGCTGCTGACCTGAAGCTGGAAGAGGAGGCTGCTTTGAGAAGTTGTGATGTGCCTGTTGTGATTACATCTTGCTCTGCAATTAAAAAAAAAAAAATCATTAAAACTGCATTAGATAATTACTGAATAAAATTCCAATTTTGTTTACTGCCTCTGCATGCTGTAAGTACCAGATAAATTCTGCCCCAGCAAGCTCTAGTAGAGTTGCAAAGCATCAGCCTTTATTAAGGAGCTGGCAGGTGAAAAGATGGCAGTAGTTGCATGAAGTTTCCAAGATACCTGCAGCTAAGGAAGCTTTGGCTTCCTTAGTGTTTGCCAAAGTAATTTGGGTCTTACTGCATTCATGAGGTCTGAGTACACGGGTAGCAGTGGTGATGAGCACGGGATGGGTGTTCCTCAAATTTCTCAGGAATCTCTCCATTTTACATGAGCATCAAGTCCTCTGTAGGTGAGTTGTCAGCTTTGAATATATAATTTTCACTGTGAACGGAACAACACCAAAAACTTTTAATTTTTACATTGACTTGTTCTAAAGCGTTCTCAAATCATAGCTAGAAAAATAAAAGACATTTTTGGACTTCTTCACTTCTGTGATCCTTGCAGAAATGTCATTCTCTGCTGCCTCCTCACCTCTGCTTTCTCCCTGGCCTCACCCGTTATTTCAGTTATCATTAGAATATGTTATTTTCTACCTCTCTCTCTTTGAAGTTATTTTGTGTTCCTTATCTCTGAATGTAGGCTCCAGAGCAATATTTATCAAACTTTAAAAGGAAAAACAAAAGTGAAAGAGGCTCAGAATAACATTAAACAGCTCATCTCTAACAAATCCTCCTTTTCTTCTCATTTTATTTCGAAGTTTCCAGGCTTTTAGATTAAGTGTGATCAAATGATGTAGTACTGAATTACTTTTTTTCCCCAATAGCTGCCATTCAGAATTCTTGGTTATGCCCCAGTACTATGTTAATGTCCTTATTTTTATAAGGCATGGCAAGCACAATTACCTGAAAACTGACATAGGCTGCACACATTTAACTAATTACATGTTACTTATTGCCTTTTTTCTATGCTTGAAACAAAGCAAGAATTTTACCTAATCCTAGAAGCCCTTGGGGGTCTTGTATATGCGTATATGTATGTTTTAAAATGTCTACTTGAAATATGCAATAATCTGTGCAATAGATATGTATGTACCTGTGTATCTTTTACAGTAAGGGTAGCTGTCACTCGCAGGAATACTGTAGGACATACATTTGTTTACAAATAATTTGTAGAGAAATCTGTGAATGTTACCTGGGCAGTTGGAGCAGGAGCCGGGGGTGGTGAGGAGGAGGAGGACACGGGGTTCCCTCCTGGAATGTCGGCTGGGCGTCCAGGTGGGCGTTCCGGTGTCGCTGGGAAGCAGCTCGGCCTCACTGCTTACATTAACAGAGCTCTTCAGGAATCCCTGTGGAAACGGCGGCGCCGCGTGCCCAACTCGCGGGAGAGCCTTATGTGTATTTGACTTCAGTTCACATACTGATGTGCACACACACATCCTGCCTGTATAATGGTCATTGCTGCCTTTTAGGTAATAAATGCTTAAAAACAGGAAAATGTGTGTGTGTACACGTGTGTGTGTGTGTGTACTCGCACATGCAAAAGATGCACATATACACATTTATATAGCTTTTGTTCTAATCTTTTTCACCAATTCTATTAAAAGCAAGCTAGGAATCATTCTTTAGTAATATTAATGAATTTATTTTTATAGGATCTGGTCAACACTGGACTCAGCACTTTCTTCTTTTTCATTGCCTCTGTAGTACTCGCTGCTTTAAACCATAAAACTGGAGCAGAAATTGCTGCTGTGGTAAGAGAATTTGAACCTCTTTAAATGAGACTTGCATTTTGTATTAAAACTAGGGATAACTTTTCCATCATGTTAATTGAAAACTTCTGTTTGCTTCACCAGCCCAGGATACTTAAAGTTTTAGTTGGCTGTACTAGTTTTTATTTTTAAAAATATTGATGCCTTCAAGATGTATGTCTTAAGGCTTTTGAGGCAAGACCAAATCGGGAGGAAGGGAGTGTAAACCTTTAAGAAATGAGTCTCCTTTGCCTCTCTACAGCTAGCTTGGATATTACTGCCTACTTAGCAGGCAAAAGAGAGGTGACTAAAAATTGGATGGAGGAGCCACTTGCACATAATCTTGCTGAATTCTTGTTCGCTACAGCTTGCTTTTCTTTGACAGAAGACAATAGTAGTATTTTGTTTTACGTTTAAATCTAGAATGATGAGGTCAAGTAAATTAATTTTGTGCTCAAGTTGGCAGGCTTCTGTTTCTGCAAACCTGGGAATTGAAAATTCCACTAGCTGTGCAGAAACGCACCGAGGGAGCCGCAAAGTGACTCCTCCCATAGTTTGGTAGTCTGGACCTCCATCATTCTCGCGTGCATCCTGGGGAACGAGCTCTTGGCTGGATAAAGAGCTATGTTCTTTACTTGCAAGGAGTCTTCCTTGGAAGTTGGCACTGCAGGGTTTAATTGACAGTGTCTGCATAGACAGAGAACTTTGTTTTCTAGGATCATTGATCTTGGTGTTCCCAGATTCTCTAGTTCATTTAAGAAGAAAAACATAGATTTTTACTGGCCATAACAATTTGTCAGTCCTAATAAAGTAGAAAACTAAAATGCTGAGGGATTCGTTATGAAACTACTGCTGTTCTTGTTTTCAAAAATTGTCTTTGACATTTTTTTCTACTTCTTGCAGATATTTGGTTTCTTGGCAATGGCAGTGTATGCTGTGAACACATACTTAGCCATCCAAAAGTGGCGACTGAACAGACAACAGAGCAGTCGGCAGAGCAGTGACTACATACGGGCTCGGACAGAATCGAGGGAAGTAGATCATCGCCCGGAGATTCAGCGGCTGGATGCATGACAGTGACATCGAGTGGGACTGCAAGGGGAAAAAGGAGTGCTTAAGTTTTCCCTTGTGGAATCAAGGGCTTTTTCTCCCACCTTTATTTAAGGAAGAAAAGGAAGATCAGACTGTGACAAAGAATGTCCAGACCCACCCATGTGCAGAGATGCGTTGAGGCAGAAGCTGTTGCCATGAAGAGAATAAATGTTGGTCATTCAAATGCAAGTTCTATATATATATATACATAGATACATATATATCTAAAATGTTAATATTTTGGAATAACTGCATAGTACTCTTCTTTCCTCTCCCAAGTATAAGCTCTGCTCTATGTGTTCTGCCACTGTTTCTTCATCTACCACAAACATGAAGACCAGCACTATATTTTTGGTTAATACCAGAAAAAGAAGTTCACCAAAAGTAAGTTGGGGCAAATAGCAATAACGTCAGCAGTGTGTTGTGTCCAGCAGCTCCCCGCAGCCTGGGCCCTGCAGTTCCCATCTCAGCTGCAGGACTTTGTGCAGTTCCTTGGTTCATGTCCCTACCCAGCCGGAACAGACGGCACTGTCACGCTTTGGGGCTGGTGGAGGTAGCAATAAGGTAGTTATGCTGTGAATTACTCTGAAATTGTCACAGTTCATGGGTTATACTGGCTCGATCTGAATTTGCCTAAGATTAGCGTGTTTCCCAGATGGCTGCTGTAGTGCATCCAGTACAAGTTTGTCTTCTACCAGTGTTGGGATACAGGCTTTTTTATTTGTTCCAAAATGAGAGAAAAAAAAAGTCCTTGCAGACGGTGAGGAGGAAGAGGGTGGAAGTGCACAGTGATGATGGCAAGAAAGAAAGAAGGGGTTCTGATGCACTTGCATTCCAGTCGGAGTTTCATATTTTTTTGCTTGTTTGACAGTTCAATCTTTCTGAGAACAAGAATAGCAAAAATTTACAGTATCTTATAAAATGTCTTAAAGGTCGTGATATTTTGATTCATGTAGGAAAATACTTTTGAGGGGTTGCTGATTTTTTCTAAAATTAAAAGTGTTTGTAGTAGGTCAAAACAATTATTTGGGTGTGTTGGGAAAATACTCTTCTAACATTCCTTTGGAAAATGAGTTTAGTTAATTGAAAGAAAAGATGGTGTTGATTTGCTCATAAATGGTTTTGCCTAATTGAAGTTTTCTCATTTTGCTGCATTTTCAGTGAAGAGAAGGATGCTTTCTCAACTTAAAGCTTGAATTCTTCAATAATCAGTTAGACGGTGTCACAGTGGTATTTTGAAGATGTCCCTCTATTTTCTTGTTTTATGATTAGTATTTTTATGTATGTAATCGTTCATTTGCCATTTATGTGCCTGCACATTGCATGAAGAAAATGTCTGGAAAGATGATGCCCAGAGCTGAATTGCCACCTCTTGTAAGCTCATGGCATCTTGGAAGTCACTGTAATTGTATCCCTGACTTGCCACCTATGCCTGAATTTATCCCGCACGTGGCCTGTGCCCTTCTGGTGTGCGATGCTCTCACGGAGCGGTACCCAGCCTGGATGGATGTGCCTAGTGGGAATGTTGCAAACAAAGGGCAATAGATGTCAGATAGGTCACTTCTAAATATAGCATCCAGGTTTGTAAAGCAGTATGATGAAATGAAAGAACAGTACAAATGCTTGGAGTTATTTTAATTATTCTAATGGAGGGTACTGGTTTTCAACTTTATGCTGCAATATTTAAATCAAGCAACAGAGAATTATTCTGATATGTGAAAACCACATAACTGATATACCTTCATTGCGCAGTTGTTGTTGTTTACATTACACCACAGTGGCCAAGTCTAAAAGTACAGAGAACTTACTAATGAGTTTAAAGAATGTTTGTTCTTTTAACCCAGTAATGATTTTCCAGTTGTTATATCTGGTAACTTATTTTGTTTCATTGAAAGCTGATGCCAAAGGGAACACTGATTTTAAAATAACAAGCTATTCAAGCTGACCTCTGTTGCTGGATTTAAAACATAGCTCTTTTTATCAGGGAGGTGTTTCAGGTGGGACTGCTGGATGTCTCTGTGAAAAGCAAAGCATTCGATGTTCAGGATAGCATTAAATAATGAAGTTAATAGCCAATATCCTGCTGGTTTTCAACACTCTGTGCCTAGCAGGGAGACAGGTTTTACAAGGGGAGTCTTTAGACACTATTGTTTAAAAAAAAAAAAAAAAAAAGTATAAACCATAACTCTTTTAGAAGAAACACAGATCTAGACGGGAAATCAATTTGATATTAAGGTAGGCTGTGCAAACAGGATAAAAACAAACCCAGGCCTGCTCAAATTCAGAATATTGTCCTGCAGAAGATCGAAGCTTTTAGAGTGAAATTCTCCCCTGAAGCCCAGGCACAGAAGCGAGGACCCGGGCCTGGCCGTGCGCCCCTCTCGGCTGCCCCGGCCCCGTCAGCGCGCGCGGCTTTGGGAGGGTCTCCTGCATCTCTAAGTTCCTGAGCTTGGTATCTCACAATGGCTTCTACCTTTCCTTGCTTTAAAAAAAAAAAAAAAAAAAAAAGAGGAGAACTTTGCAGGGCTTTTTCTGAAGCAAGATTATGAAAAGCTTTTGCCTTTTTTGCTTGAATGACAAATGCCTCTGGGTGGGTATGAATGAAACACAGTTACACTTCTAATACTGTACAACACTGCATCACCTAGTGTAGGGCATCTGTGTGACCTCAAGTGCTTTTACACAGCGGATCTAGTTGTCTTCAGCTGAGAACAGTGTACTGTTATTTATTACTTACATAATGACTTGAGCTCAGCACAGCTTTCAGGGTAGAATTCAAAAAATATCAAACTTAAAAAAACCTATCTGATATACTTTGTACACAAAAAAAGAAATGTAGATTTGTAATTTCCTTATTTTGGGGACCAAAGATAACTTTAGTATTGTACAGTATATACTTTCTAAAAATCTAAGTTAAGGATTTATTAGTATGCAGAGACATTATTTACTGTTTGATTATAGAAAAGGTGAATACAGTAGGTATGAGATAGCAGATGATCTTAACACTTGAAATTCAGCTATATATACATGGTTGAGTTTTTTCAGGCTTAATTTTATGCTGTAGTCTGAGAAGATGGTAAATATTTTAATAATACCTGTTATCCAAACTGCAAATATGATTTTAAAAAAAAACTTAGGGAAGAAAATAGGGCAAAAAGTTTAACTTTTTGAAACTTGCGGAGAAAGTTGCTTCTTCCAACCATAAAGGGACCCAACAAGCAATGTACCTAAAACTAAATCAAAGTTGAACCACATAGGAAGCACGTGGGGTGCTTGAAAGAGCACTGGAGTTCTGATTATTCCTCTTAAGTCGGACTGTGCCCTTGGATTAATGTATTTCTCTGTATAGAAATAAGGGCAAATTTCACAACCAGTGTATGGAAAGATGCATTAAACAATAGAAAGTGTTTGGAGCAATAGCATGATTGTTGTACAGTGCTGTAGGAGTATGTATTTTCCTTTAATGCTAAGTTCACTTTTGTCAGCCTTAGTTGAAGCTTATCATGCTTTCCTGTACTGGTATGCAAATATAAATACAAACAAGTATCTAAAACCATAGCTAAGAGCTAATTTAACAATTTAACTACTCTGTTGTAAAGATGCCTCCTCCTTTTGTTCCTTTCATTATGTGTATTCAGTCCTCATCTATCTTTTGTTTCTTTTAGTTACTCCTCCTTCATTGATCTATATAGTGTCTGCTTCACTGTAAGAAGACAATTAAGAGGTTGTTGGATATACTACCTTTAAGTAGAGCCCTTCTCCCTGTTAGAGTTTGTGCTGGGGACCTTTCGCTCTTCCCTAGCGCTTCGGAGGCGAGCTGGCGAACGCTCAGTTGTGTGACCTGTTAGGAGCTGCGTGCTCAGAGATGCCAAGAGATTCTTCTACCTCTGCCGCCTTCGAGAACCAAGGTACTGATCCCGAGAGCTGCCCCATGCTGGTCGTCGTCATCGTCGTCCGTGTGTTCAGGTGCTGCATTAGCCATCGCCTGTGCTGTGGAAGCAGTTTGCCCTCCTTTGCTCATAAGGTTTCTCTTAGGTGTGGGTTTGGATAAAATCAGTAGTGGGGGATGCCTCTTCCTAGGCCTTGTTACATCTGTGTTTCACAGTGCATCTTGGTTTTATTTTCTTTGTATTTCGTTGGTAATTCTAGTAAGAGGAGGAAAATGGGAAAATCTCCAGTCTTCCCTAAATTAATATTCAGATTTTTTCCCCTCTTCTATGAATTACTTTGTACCATATGACAATTTCCCTTTCTTGATCTGTAGATTTAGTGGTATTAAAGTAATACTCACTGTTAGAAAGAATGCTATGGACCATAGCAGGAAAATGATCTGCTACAAGCTAAATGTGAACTCTTATCAGTAAATTAACCACTAGTTTGTCCATGATGTTGATATTTAAGGTCCCTAAGCAAATTTGCCACCTTTGTGCTGTTATCTAATCCATGATTTCATTAATGTAGCTTTTTTCCCTCTTTAGTCTTTGTTCTGTATTTCTTTTCACACAACATCGTTATAGACATGCCTACTTTTCTATGAAGAAAATAATACTGCTTTAGGGTATCATTTCATAAACAACCAAGTAGCAGTTCAGGTACTATTGAAAATAATACCCTGTCTCTGACTTCCAGTGAGGTCTAAACAGCTTTGCACATGAAAAGTGAAGCAGAACCAGCAGGTCTTGCACGAGAGCTCTGGGGCCAGAAGTCTTCAGCAGATATTTAGGATAAATAAATAGGCAGCATCGAGTGATGAATTTAAGATGTGAAAAAGAGTGGGAAGTGGAGAGACGAGCAGGTTTGACACTTAATCCTGCATTTCAAAGAGGTAGGTGAACATTAATAATCCTCAAAGGAGGGATTACTCCATGTAGCAGAGAAGGAGGCAAAGGCACCTTAATCGGAAGTAGGTGCAGAAATATCTGCCCTTTGCTCTGAGCTCTGGGCTCCTGACAACCTTAAAACATCTCTGGGGTGGAGGGATTTGGCTCTGATGGCAGCGGCTGAGGATGCTTTAGGTCTGTCGGGGAGTGCGATGGTCTCAGCAGAACCTCCTCGCCAGAGGGCAGCGGGATCTGGCCGCTTGCATCAGGAGGGCCACGTGTGTCTGCAGTGAGTAGTGGGGCGGGAGGAGGGAGCCCTGCAGGGAAGGGCTGCGATGCTGGCAGGCTTCGTGCGCGGGGGTTCGCGTGCCTTGTCTGCCCCGCGGCGCTGTTGGGGCGCGAGGCGCCGACGGCCCCCGGCCGGGCAGCGTCAGCACGCGGAACGGGCGGTGGGCTTGAGCCTGCCCTGGCTTCACCCGCAACAGGGGTGGTTGTTTAAAAAGGAAGCCGAAACAGGTACAAAAAGCAGCAGGGCGCTCTGCTATCTCTGCCGAAGTAACGTTTGAAAAGAGTTTGTGGAAAATATGCCATATTCCTCTCTTCAATGTAGCCGATTAAGGTGATTAAAAAATGAGGGTATACAAAGAATCGGGAAATCTCTAGGTTCTGCTTTGAGGAATTTCCTGGTGTGCTGTTATCCCTGTTAGCCCCTGGGATAGATCTGTTTGAGAGGGTCGGCAGGGTGCTGTCCAGCCTGAGTTTTGTTGTTTTGGTCTCACTTTTTGTGTTGTCTGTTTAAAATCTGTCATAACTTAGCCATTTGTGTTCTAAAAATATACTTCAAAAAGCTGCCTACACTGTGATTTGTAATATTCTTTAGAGTACACAACACAATCTAATTTTCCTTCATCATATGCAGCTTTCAAAAGTATTCTTATATATGCCCAGAAATTAAAGTTATTTATCATTTAAAAAAAAAAAAAAAGATAAAATTACCTATCCAGAACCCCAGTGCAATTCTTTCAAATGTGCTGGATGGGTGAGTTAGTGAAATTGCCTTCTAATCTCTATGGGTTAGTAAATATTTTTTTATAATTTGCCACAGATATTCCTTTTTAAATTATACTTGGCAAACAGAAGATATTTAATTTTATATACAATATGCATAGTTACCTTGATTGACATATTTATAACATAGAGCTTTGAGTTTACTATGAAGGTTTTATCAGTATACTATAGACTTCATGGGTAACATTTTTAAAAGCCAGATGGCATTTATGGAAGGACGTGGAAACTTAAATTCATAACGAGCACATCTGAGCATTTCAAGCAGCAATAGCCAGATCTTACTGACAGGGTATGTGGGTTTTTTTGTCTTTGATCGGGGCTGGTCCCTACAGGCATTTTAATATCACCTGGATGTGCATAATAGTGATATACGACCACCTCTGCCTCTCCTGACTTCATGAACTATTCTCTACATTATGGTAAATTTTGGAATGTTGTATTTGTTTTGTTTTGGACAAATGTCTCAATGGACATATTTAGTTAAAACCTTCCTGTATTGGGGAAAAAAAAACACCCCACCATCTAACTAGACTGACCTTTTACTTTTGGCAACTTTTTATTACCAAAAATACTGTAGTTTAAATATTTTCATTAGTATTACATTTATCCTGATGTCTGCAGGTTGAAATTCTGTCTAGCACTCTTGTATTACAACAACTGCTACCTTCATTTTTCTGCTGTTTGTACCTTCATCTTGGTTGTTTACTGGTTTCTACTTGTTGGATGTATTGGAGGGAGAGTATATCTTAGCACTACAGTTCATCCAGCTTTCAGTGGTCACAGGCATAGAGTAGGGAGTTGTTTGGTATATTTTGTGATCAAATTGTTGCATTTTAAATGACTTCTACACTTAAGACACAACATTAGGACATAATATAACAAATTTCTTAGCTAATTGTTTTTTCTGCCTAGACTTACTCTCTTCTGTGTTAATGTCATTTTTGAAACTATTTGTATATGTTGAAGTTTGTAAGGGTTCAGGAACCCACAAATAATAGTAAAGTATGTATTTATTTCTCATTATATTGCTCAATTTTGAATTAAAAGTTGACACTTTTTATGTCTTTACACATAACTGTAAACAAATACCGAAAAACTGCTTCACCTAGGGTGCCTTCCATGTGTGGTATAAACACCTGTTGGTCATAAAAGTACAAATGTAAACTTATTAAACTGGTGAACACTATTTGTATTCTCACTAATGCATTTCTGGCTTCGTTGTGTGTTGACTCAGAGCAGCCTCGGGGGTGCTCTAGTCATCCCTCTCCCTTTGTGCATTATGCAGTAACATTGAACTTGAGGTACAAAGGTGAGGTCCCTTTTGCTCTGCTCTGTCTGTGCTGCTGCCTGGAAGATGGATGTGAAGCACGGGGATGGTTGAGCTGGAACATGCTACTTTTTTGTTTTGAACCTTGTGTAAAGAGATGCTGTGGCATACATATGTATCCTCAGTGCCAGTTCATGGTCCTATAGACAAATAGGGTGGACCTGATCTAAACATTCCTGGTTTTAGCTCATAGTTCATGGTGCCCAGGAAGGAACATCTGGGCTTGACTTAAACTCTTCATCCCGCAGGGTTCAGCTCCTGTACTGACACACTTGTAATTGTGAGCGGCTCAGCAGCACCGGCCAGTGCTGTTGGTTAGATTTCTGGCTCGGCAGAGCAAAGGGGATGCCAGAAACCTTTCACTGTATGAGCACAATCTGCTATGTGATACCCTTACCATTTTCTTTTTGAATAAGAAAACGTGTCATGTTTTGCCAAGGAAAAGCTCTGTAAGTGTACTGTATGTGCTGTTGCATGTTCAGAAGCTGACTCTGTTGTCCTCGCTCAGGCAAAATTTGGACTTCGGGGACTGCAGGGTCAGGTACCCATTTATCATCCCGAGTGTGTTGTGGCCAGTGAACGTGAAGGAATCGCATGTCAGCAGATAGAGCAGCAGAATGCAGCCTGAAGCAATTTCACTTGTTGGTGTGGGTTTTTTTTTTTTTTTTTTTGAAGTTACCCCAATAAAACTGGGTAAAACCGATGCTTTCAGTAGAGATGCCAGCCAGCTGCACTCGCTGCCCTCTAGGTATCCACAAGCTGGGGCTCCAGTGTAGCGTCTTCCAGCTCTAGCTGCGAGTCGTGTTGCTGGGGTTGTGAACAACTTGAGAGCAAGGTCACTGGGCAGAGAAAACCCACACTCCTAATGTGTGTTAGACCGATAATGATTTTGAATATGTTGTGCACTTCTTTTCTCTTGGTTTTTGATGTTAAACAAAAAACACAAGTTGAAGGATTGTAATGTCTTGCAAAACATGGTAGTCCCTGTTTTTAAAATCCATACCATTACAGCATAATTTAAATGGTGTATTTATCAGTTTTAAATGTCATTTTGCTTGTCCAGTCTTTTGTATATGGGCACAATAACTATTTGTAAATTTTTTATTTAGTTGTCTTTTCCTGTCTTTTTGTCTTTCTGATATTTGAAGATTTGAGCTCTACAGATTTTCATGGTACTCTTCTAATTATGTCTTCATAGTGGTAAAAGTCTGTATTTTTGTATGTAGAGAAAATGGTAGTTTTCTAACACTTAATCTTGATCAATATAGTATGAAATCATTTGTGAAGGACCTCTTGTTTAATAAATGGATATATTAAAGTACTATAACATTGTCTTCATCTATAAAAGCATCGTATAAACCCTGCAGCTTTATGGTTGATAGGTTAATTGTCTGATAGTGTAATTACTAAATGCATTTCCTATGCAAGGCAAAGCCGTGTGGTTCAAAAACCACCTCCCAGAACGTGGCAGTTTGTGACGACTCTGCATCGCTGGCAAGGCAGATGTCACAGAGGTGGGAGCTGATGGCACGTGCTGTGTAGGCAGTCCTGGGAACCGCTCCGCTGCCCGCGGCGGGACGGCTGCTGTGGGAAGAGCCTGTGGTGCCGGAGCCTTGGCCGGGGTGCTGAGAGGCAGGAGGTGGGCGCTGCTCAGCTACCGCGGGGGCTGCAGCTCCCACCTCGGCCTTCGCCTGCTCTGTGTTTTTGCTACCCAGATGTTTTCCGTGTGAAGCGCAGGAAAGCAGTGGTAACAGGTAAAAACTAAGGAATGATACAGGTGGTTGAATGAGCGTTATGGTCAGAATCTGGGTGGCCCTTTTAGATTCTAAAGGGATTAATGTCCATGTGGGGAGGCAGGGGTGGAAAGTGGTAGTGGGTGAATTCTTACACAAGGATTCAGTAGGGAGCAAGGTGCTTGTAGGGCTGTGGTGGTGTCAGCAATACACTTTTCCTGTTGCATCTGTTGACCGCATTAAAGACCAGGCCCCAATGTAGTTGGTGCTGTTTAAGGAAAAGAGTCGAAGTGCTGGACATAACGGTAAGTTACTGCAGACATCTTGCAAAAGAAACTTTGTAAGAGTTGAATAGAAAATTTACCCAACTTTGAAACATTGAATTTTCCTTCTATCTCCTGGGAAGCAGCTAACTAGCCATTTTGTTTGCCACTTCTGTTGATCTTTAGGAGTAACCCAACATTAAAACATAACTTAATATTCTCATTTTGCTAGACTTTCACAGTGTGAACGTATCTGCAAAGAGTAAGCCCAAAGGGAAATATTATTGGCTGCCAGATGTCAGCACTGAAACTCCAGTGCCTCCTAAATAGGGTAACTTTAATTTTCACTTGAATGTTTGCTCTTGCTTAAATGTTCTTATGCCACAGAAGAAGTTTCTCCTTGCGAGACGCGTGACCGTGGGCACTGCTGCTTCATGCTCCGTGTTGCCACAGCCCATGGTGCCTTTCGTGCAGGACCCCTGCGGTGTTCCTCTTGACTGCTTGGAGGCAGAGACCTTAACGAGTCTCGAGAAACGAGACCTTAAAATAAGGCAAATGCACCCAGGGTTTCTATTAAAAGAGGTTTAATCCAGTATGGTTTCTATATGTTAACCATGTACTAGTTACCAGCAGTGACATGCAATACATTTAAAAAAATAATAATACAAAATAATATAAAAATGAGCCCAGGTCCCCTGACATCACAGTCAGTGTCAGTAAAAGTTGGTGGTAAAGAAAAAAAAGTGTAATCTCAAATTTCACGTAGAAGAAGGTCTGTAGAGCTCTTTTGTAAAAGGAAATGTATTTATCATGTTTGGAAGCAAATTTTATCTTGCTTTTATTCCTTCAGTGGTCGGGAAATGCAAGTTGAGGAAACTGCCTGTTCGAGGTCTCCGTGTCTCGCCGGATCCGCTTCCCCAATACCTGGCTGCTGGTAGGTACCGGGTGTTTGCCAGTGAGCAGCCAGCTGCTAGCAAGGAATTGGAACACAGGCAGTAATTGTGTTCCAAATGAAAATCTGCCTTTAATGTTTTAGCTCTGTTTTTCATTTATTCTATTAGTACCATCTGCTCTCATTTTATTTATTTACTTTGTTGAAGCCACCTATCCTGGGACTATATTAAATGTTTTTTAATGTATAAATTTTTTTCTGAAATAGACCTATCGGGTGCCATAGATGAGGGACAGGCCATGCTTTTTGCCTGAGCAGGGTGTGTTTGCATATGGACACAAATATTTCAAGGCAGGTTGTGCTACCCATGGAAAAAAAAGTTAAAGTTGAAGGGTTTTTTTCCCCCCCCAAATTACTAGACCTATGAGAGATAAATTGTGTCCTTCCAAAGGAGAGTTAAAAAGTAATAATGATAATAAAAAAAAAAAACAAAGAAACAAAAAACCAGGGGACTGGGAAAATGAATTTCACTGCAGAGACATTCTTTAGGTTGGAGGTTGGTTTTTGCATCTTCACCCGGGGAAGGGAGTATTGCCCTCCCAGGGCCTGGGTGTCCTGAGTTTTACAGAAGCCATCATCTGTTTTGCGCCACTCTGGGTCCTCTTGGGTGAGTGGCCCACGTGCAGCCCTGCTCCCCGCTGCAGGGCCAGGGCCACTGAGCTCGAGCTTGAGCTCAAAGCCAGGCGGGCTCCTCGCGCCACAGCCCTTGGCTTGGCCGGCGGGCAGCATCCCAGGGAGGCGCTTGGCGAGCGAGGGCCTCGCACAGCCACGTCCAAGGGCTTCCCGCCAAGGGGGGTTGGTGCAGCCACTCCTGCCCTGCCTGGTGCCTCTGGTGAGCTGCAAGGGTGAGATGTGATCCCATCTGAGCAGCTTAAAAAAGCGGAATTAAATGTCCCATGAAGCAGCTAACCTGGCACAGTTATCCTTTGAGATTGATCCTGGTGCAGATTTCCAGTTGTCATTTTTTTTTATCGCATCCAGGTGGTGGATGTGAATGCATTGAAACCGGCACATCAGCTATAATCCGTGCCTGCAATGCTTGAGATAATGGAATATTTAGAATTTTAAGAAATGCTATTTGTTAGATAATCTTGAAAAATATAAAGTAGAGGCATTCTCTGCCTCTCAGCTTTGGCACAGCAAGAAGTATAAAAGTTTTCAAGTGTTAAAGATTTGGAATTAAGAAAGCATATTAAAAGCTCTGCTATAAATTGAAAATGCTCTGTTCCTGTTTGCTCACTGTATTGTAGAGCTGAGTAAAGAAGAGAAAGGGAGAACTGGGATGTTTGTTTGAAAACAGACCTGTGTTACAGATTGAACTACTTTAAAATTATTAGTTCTGAAGGAGTGTTCAATGTTATTGAATAGTCTGCCACACCACTGCCCTATGCTGTGGTGGTTCCATAAGCCATGAGGTGAAAATAGGATACCAAAAGTAAACAGGGAAGTATCTCCATTGGCAGCATGTTCAGTAAAGAGGAAAGAGCTTGGTCATCTTCCCTTCACAGTTCATTGCTGTCTTGCTCTTCAGTCAGAATTGGAATCAGAGTCTTCATCTGAAACTTAAAAATAAATAAATAAAAATAAAAAATAGCAAAAAAATGAAAACGAGATCTCCGCTTTAGCTCTTGCTTATAGAGATCTGTTGTTTCTACGGTGTCTGCTCCAGAGGATATTTAAGAAAAGGCTTGTGAAGTGACAGTGATGCAGCCTTAAATGGTGTTTCAGAGGATTTGAGAAATGCTGCTGAGAAGTGGTGTGAGCTGAGGCTGCTGCAGCATAGAGAGTAACAGTTCAAACAGAAGGGGGTGAAAAGATGTTAGTGCAACCACGAGGAAATTTGCCTCAGAAGTGCTTCCTGTACTAGAATTTTGCTGTCTGCCTGTAGGCACAGTTGCACACTGCCATCTGCAAGTAAGAAATTTAGAGATGTTAAGCAATCCTGATGAGCCTATAGGCACATCCTGCCCGAGCCTGAAGCTGCGTTGGCAAAGATAATCAGGGGTTGCAGCCCCCGCATCCAAGAGTGCAGCAGGAACGGGAGTTTCGTGCCAGAGGAGCCACCCTGCAGGGCTGAGCCCTTCCATTGACACGTAACTGATGTAAAGCCGAGTGACTTCAGGTTTTGTGAGCTCGTGCATTTGTCTTTCTATCTTCAAGAAAACAAAACCGAATCTTCGCCTATGTGCATACCCTAGGCAGCCTAGTCTCGTTCTGCAGCAGCTTCCAGTTGCAGAGTTAAGTTTCTAGTCTTTCCAACAGGCTGTTCCTGTAAATCTTCTTCTTCCCTTGAACTCTCTTTTTGGCCTAAAGCTTACAAAGCACTTAGCTGCCTGCTAAAATACCTCGAAAAGTCTGTTAGCATCACTGTATGCCCTCTAGGATTCTGTGTGGATTTCCTACATTTTACATATTTAAATGCAGTTTTTTAGATCTGCCTTTATGCAACATGTAGCATTACAGGGATTTTGACTTGTACTGCTGTGTAGACTGTGTTCTGACTTCGCTAGAAACAGGTTAGAGCTCAAATACTTCTACATAAAGATCTGATCTTTTCAGCGTTGCCTAAATGGAGCTGCCTGATCTGAGGTAGTCCGTTCCGTATCTCCTGTATTAGAAGGAAATTAGGAAACAGTCTTGTTCCTTTTATGCAAAGTGTGACCGCTAGATTTCAAGGCTATTTGTCCACAGATGGGCAAAACTTGGCACTGAGTAAGTTGTAGTAGTACAATAAAGAGAAAGGAGCTATTACATATTAAAAGCAGGAACAATTATTAAGTTATTAGGAAATATTGAGTTATTGGGAGCTAATTATGAATTAAATATTTGTTTAAAAGATAATGTTTATTTTTAGACCAAGACATTTTGATGTATGGAAAAAGTCTATGTGACAGAGTAATTTTTATAATTGTATATGGAGACTTTGAAAATCAGATGCAGCAAAACTTTAAATTCTCAGCTTGCTAGTATCTTGATAACTGAGTAGAATTCCAGTTGTTTTGCATTATGAAGACTCAGCAGCTTCATAATACAGCATAGTTGAGGCATAGAAGGTTTAAGTAACGAAGGATACAACCAGTTCTTACAACAAGTTCTTACCAAGTTTGAGACTTGAGACTCAGAAAGACTTCACCCCTGTGAAGTGTGAAGTACAGGAAAGTCTCATGTTACCAGCTTGTGTAACCGAAACGTGACAAGTTACCTACCATCTGACTTGCGCCCTTCAGGGGGACTGGAAGTGCCTTGTTTGAGAAATGTAACCAGGTCGTTGAAGGTTACGTAGAAATCAATGGCATACACTATTGTGGCAATAAATCCAAACACCTAAAATAGCAAAATGATACTATCGTCAACATAGTATGTCAGTCATCAGTGACAAACCAGTATAAGCATAACTGAAACAAGAAAAATTGTTGGGGAACACTTGGGCCTGAATTGGGACTGTGCTCTTCCAGAGAGGTGATTGCTCCCTGGCACCTTGTGACCCATGGAGCTACAGGAGAACCGACTGGTGTGTTCCCAGCACTCTGTTCACATAGAGGCATAACCTACGTTTCCCTAGAAATGTCTTGGCCTTTTATTTTTTTTCTTTTATTTTCACAACTAGATTGCAAGGTTACATGTCTATTTGTAGATGGAAATGGATTGAGGTACAGTGTTTCTGGAGTTACCTACTTGGTGTCAAAGAACAAGCAGTCTGGCAAAATAGGCAATTTTCAGTCAAATAAAGTAGAATAAATGCTGCATGGTCTGCTCCATCTCTGAACACAGTACCATAAGAAATAAGATCTTTGTATTGCAATTATGTAGGACTTGGAATTTCTTGGTCAAGGCTGCTGGCGACCAGTACTGGCTAATTTTCTCATGTATTTTTTTAAAAGAATTATGGAAATTTTGTTTGTTGCATATATTATTCATGCTTAGAGTCAAGTTGCAGATAGTGAGGCAGTATCTTATTTCTGAACACAAAATGCTGATGATTAAGGGACTTTCCTGGATGGTCTCTATCCTGGAGACATTCTATATGAGAGTAAAATCATGGGGGTTTTGTTTCACCTCTTCCACATAAAAATGTATAATAGAGGCACAAGACTAAAATTGCTTAATTTTTAAAAATTTACACTGTACTTAGTAGTTCCAGGCTTGGTTCTTTTTTATTTAGTTATTTTTTCATTCGATATTCTTGATGTTCCTTTCAAAAATGGATAAATGGATATGAAGGATGAGAAGTGATGGTCATTGATATAAAATCTTCTTTTCTAAAATGGACCATTTTTTTCTTGTTTTAGGCAAATCTCAGTCTAATTTTCAATATTTTGAAGAAACTTATTAATTGTAACAAAGGCAGAGTTGAATCATTTCTGAAGTATGTCTATATGCAAAATACACAAGCAGAAAGCTCATGTCTACTTACTCCTGCTGCTTTAGATGCTCCATCAGAATATTTTGAGACGGCTGCAATTGAGATGGCAAAGTAAATAATAGCAGCAGTGACACACCGCAAGAAATCCTGTAAAATAAAGATGTTGCTTTGTCAGATTAGTCGTGTTATTCCGACATACAAACTCCTCCAAGAATAATTTTACAAATAATAAAAACCTTTGATGTTATCTCATTGGACTTGCCTGATACTCGAATGTAACTACAGTCTGGTATTTTATAGTGGGTGAATTGTTCATCTGGGAAATATTTATAAATGAGAGATGACTGGAATCTTGGCATTAGCCTCTGCTCTTACAGATGTTGGTAGAAATCCTCCTTTAGCATGCTTGTGTCAGACAGACCTTTCTTCTGACTGAGAAAGGACCTCTTTCTGTTGTGTTTCCTTTGGAAATACAGCAAAGCCTAGTGAGGAGTGTTAGAAAGTTTCATCTTGAAACAGAACTACTTTGGTACAAAACGTTGTTGGGAGACTGTGCCCTTTTTTTATGGGGAGAAGGCAACACTGAAAAGTCCACAAGTGCATGCTTGTTTTGGCACTTTCTCTTAAAAAAAATTTTTGCCTTGTCTGTACTGTTTAGGAACTAAACATTTTGTTTAGTGTTACACACAGTATAAAGGGTAATTTTATAAGTGGAACTTTGGTTGCTGCCACGAAATGATTTTACCTGTTGTTACCATAGAAACAGGTGCTGCTTGGGGCTGATGCTGTAGCTCTTTAGGGCAGGGTGGTGCCCTGTGATGCTGGCAGGGATGTGCTGGAGCAAAAAAGCAAACTCTCAACCATGCAGAAAACAATGAACAGTGATTCTCAGGCCCGGTGTTTGCCTTGTGAGCTGGCAGAATTGTATTTTGACTTCTGTTCACAATTAATCTTTGGCCTTTCCAGAACAGATGGATGAATAAGATACTGTCTTAAAACACAAGTCCTACAAGAAGCCTGATTCCTCTGAAGTCACAGCAAGGTCAGTTACCTATATTTTGAGGCTGGATGTAGTGAATATAGTAAACATGAAGGTGTTGGGTGTGTGTGTCTGTGTGTGTGTGTGTGTGTGTGTTGAGGAATCAGATGCATTTTTACAATAGGAAATCAATGTAACTGAGATTACCAGTTGCAAATCACACAAACTGTGTGGCTGCTGTTGTTTCAATCCACAAAGGGTTTCTCCCATTTTGGTTTTATACATGAAGGGCTGTAATGCAAGTCTCACTATAACAAGCTATTGCTACACTTATCCTAATGAACTGGGTTGGCATTTTTGAAATACTTTGTACTGCTAGGTAAATGCTGCCTTTACAATCTGAGTTTGAAGCAACAGAGACACCCAGTGGCCAATTTCCAAGTAGTTGCCTGCAATTAAAAACCTGAGAATTTCCCCAGGAATAGCCAGTGTTCTCCTCTGTGTGTTCCAGGGTTTGCCTGCTTAACAACCCTGAGCTATTTGTTTCCATGTCCCTGTGACACTGGAGCTGCATTTCCCACTTGGAAAGTCCAAAGTATTTTAGTGACGTATACACATTACTCTACACAGCATGCCTTGGTATGCCCAGTTTGTAAGGGCTACACTACAAAAGGACTTCAGGTTAATGGGTGCTGCTGGCTTGTGAATATTCAGCCCAAAGCCATTCACCCAGAATAATATGTAAGTTCTGTGCTGTAATAAAAATACAGTTTCTGTCAACGCCTAGAACACTAGCGAATGCAGAATAGCATGATTTAAATGACTGACTGCAATATTTTTATTAACAGATAATATAGCCCCAAATTTGCTATAATCCCTTTACTCATATTACCTCATACTGTACAATTAAATTTGTGTTTACATTTCACTTACCGACAAAGGCCAGTAGAGTCCTTTAAACTTCTCATTAAGCTTAGAGGCGTAGGCAAAAAAAAGGAACAGCGCCAGCAGAAATTCTAAAAGCGGTGCCATCATAAATGAGGCAGCTGAGGATGCAATGTAGCAGATAAAGATGATAAACGACAGCACCTAAAGGACAAGGGAAAACACTAGTTATCAGCAGGGAATAGCAGAGCCCCAGGCAGCTCTGAACATTTTTGAAGCCTTAGTTTGCTTTCATGTGTCTGTACTGCTAGGATGGCATATCTTGTTTCTTCCTGTTGCTTTTGGGGCCAAAGGAATTCTCTTGCTTAGCATGGTATAAATTTAAGCAAGTTTGTTTGTTTCAATGCATTGAGACTGCATTTGCAGAAAGCTCTGTGGGGTTACACCTCTGAGCCAATGATTTGCCCTGACTTGTAAACCACTTTGACCGCCCAATTCTGCAATTGGAGCCGAGCATCACCAAGCAAGCAGGCAGGGCTGCGAGCTGTTGAGCTCGGGAGCTCTTACCGGCAAGCCAAGTCATTGCTCAGATAGCCCAAAGTAACTCAGTATTCATCTCTGAGTTTAAAGGAAAAAAGCCTACCACCATAGAAAAGTCTTTAGAACTAATTAATCTGTGTTTTCTGTAAGTCTTTGTTTTTAGTCTTCCGCTGTAGGCTGCTTTGCTTTAGTGATATTTAAGTGTTTTGGAGAGTAACGGTATAGATAATGTAGCAGATTGTTTATCTCCTTGCTGTTTTGTAATCTCTTTGTAATTTCACCTTCAGCTGCTTTAACCTGGTCTCAGGATTCCCACAGGTAAGGTCCCACCTGGCTTTTTTTGACTATTATAGGGGGAAAAGAAGATAAAGAGACAAATTTCAGATACGTAGCATGTGATCACTCACTTTGATTTCTGTTCTGGTTGATGTGGTAACACGAGTGTTGCATTTGAGAAGAGAGCAAGTTTTTGTATTGGTAATGCTGACAGTCTAGCTTGCATCCAACTCCAATTCTGGACAGGAATTAGTTACTTAAAAGTATATTTTTAAATAACACGTAATTTCCTGCAGTTCTTATGCACTAGGCAGATGGGCTAAGTGATACTAATTACATCAGTAACTCTCTATATCAAGGTATCTGAATATGTAGGAAAACTGATAAGAGTCTTTTTCTAGCAATAGCTGAAGCCCTGGTCTAGCTAGACCAGATGTTAAGTCATGGTTCTACCAAGGCTGTTTTTTTGGAGTTTGTTTGTTTGTTTTGTTTTTCCATCTTCTCTTCGTTTGCTGCTGGTCCTTTTATGTGGCAGTTCCTCTCTGAAATTGAGATAGTAGGTTGGATATTAATTGTATTGGGGTGCTGCTGTCCCCCACCAGCTGCAGAAATACTAGTAGGACTGTGCTGGCGTCTGAAGCAGAGAGGCAGAAGCTGCCAGTTCCGGCTGTCCTCCTCACTGTGCGCCCAGAGCTGGCCTGGCTGCTGCCTGAGCTGAAGCCCAGCTCAGGATGTGAACAGAAAGTGCTGCGGTGCCGGGGCTCCCCAGTGCACTCTGCTCTAGCGGCTGCAGACGTTCTGCTCAGCTTAAAAGTAAGCTGCTGAAGAGCCAGAAGGATCAGACTGAATGGGTCAGCCTTCTGTTGTAGTCCTACTTGGAGAAGCAGCCGTTTGGGAGAAGAGAACTGTCCATTGCCACAACTAGTCAGAACAGCTGCTTGCACCAGGCAAACCCTTGGCTGCAGGCAGAGCTCGGGCCCGGGCACACACTGTGCTCTGTGCTACCACAGATACCACTGCTGCCTGGCTGCCTGGTGCTTTCTGCTCTTCTCCACTTTTTTCTTTAGTGCTCAAGTGTCCTATGGTGCACATGCAGTGCATGTAAGGACCAGATTAAAATCCCCTTGAATTGTGGGAAGTCCATTTAATTGTTGATGTTAATTGTAAAAGTTAACATTTCTCAGAGTGAGAATTGTGCTCCTATAAATCCTCATTTCAGGGGCATTCAGAACCTGAAGAGGCCTGAGAACACTTTATATTAGCACTTAGGGAAATAACATTCATCAAGTGACCAGATTTTGAGCATGAAGATGAGAAAGTATTTTGAGATTTTTACAGCCTGCATTTAGGCAAAGCTAGAAGTCCTTCCTTTCCCTCAAAAAGGAAGTGGAAAGACAGGAAAGAACAAGTGAAACAAGAGGGAGGCGGCGTCTGAGGGCTATGTGAGGTGATAGGCTGAGTTGCACCCTTTTGTTGCTTTTCTTTCTGTTTGCCTGGTTGTCATGATACAGCCCTGAGGTGGGACGGTGCCTTGGGGACAGGAGCAGGGCAGGCTCCCACAGAGCTGCCCACTTTTAACCACATCGCTCATGCCTCTTCCTTATCCTTCTTTCCCCTTCTGGCAGGTGGCACATATGAACTTCCTGGGCAGTGTCACGTATTACATATTACTGTCTTTCTGAATTATAAATCTAAATCAGCATGTTGTTATCTTGTCTGACCTTTTAGTTGCAGTGCTACCAGTTGGAACATTTGATGTCATTTAGAAAAATGATAGTTGGACCCTTCCTTCCACAACACAACAATTTGAGCTCCATTTTGTACTTGTAGAAATACGGAACACTTATTTATTTACTTTTGCAAATTTCAAGTCTTTGAGGCAAACAGCTAGGGATTGAAATGTTGCTCCGAAGAACTCAAAGCAACCTTGAGATTATAGCTTGATCTTACAGCTTAAAGACTATTAAGTGATGTACTGCCTGATAAACTTGTTTCACACCTTTTTCCTCAGAAGCTGAGCTTATAAAACGGTGTTTAGAGAAAGGTCAATCAACTGGGTCTTGTCATTTTTCTTTTCTCTGACAGTTCTCTGTATTTATGCTGAGAAGAGAAGTAAAGGCTCAGCCCAGTTACAAGTTCAGTTCTAGCACTTTAGAGTCAAACTTCTGCTTTGGGGCTAGGGAGGTGGGAGGAGGAGAAAAATACACACACACGTACAAAAAAAGTGGGTTTTTCAGTTTTGTTAATTTGTATTTAAACTGTGTTCCGCCCTGTCCCCTAGGATTACATCCTCATCACTTAGAGCAACTAAGAGTCTGAACAGAAAGTTTGAGTGCACAAAGTAAAGAGCAGGATCTCATCATAGTCAGGAAAGGGTAGGATTTAAAAAAAAAAAAAAAAAAAAATGCCAAAAAGAGCCCTGGCTTTTCACTGGGCATCTTTATCACCATTGGGAATGTGCCTACTTTGGAAAATAATGTTATTTGAAAAATGCAATACTTATCACAAGTAATAATTACTTAATCAGTAGTACTTAGCAGTATTCCTGGGCTTATTAAATCGTTAATAGTGATAATTATAAAAGCCAGGCACTACCAGGCATATCCAGGTTATACCTTATTCAAGGTATAAAATATTATTAGTTAGAATGTCTAGAAAACAATGTGTTCCTTAGGGGAGGACTGCAGCAGCAATGAGCTCATGGGCAGAACACAAGGCTTTTGTGCAGAGCAAACACCCCCTGCAATGCACTGGGCCCTGTGCGATGCTGGCAAAGCTGAACCCTTGTACAGAGCCAGGCACCTTGCGTGCTGGCTGCGCGCTCCTGTCTGCGGAAAGAGCAACATGCTGAAATATTTTAACAAGTGGCCAGTGGTGATCTCGTCTGGACAACGTGTCTGTTGTTGTTTATTCATAGAGAAGGAGGAAAACATTTAGAAGTCTCTGCTGTTCAGAGCAGCAGAGTGTGTTTGTCATGGAGGTGAAGTTCTCCTTGCCCACAGAACCAGCTGCAGGCTGGTCCCTGGGGTACAGACCTGGTAGAGGGCACCGGGCTTGCGCATCTTCAAAGGAGGCTTTACACAAAGCAGCTCCAGTTTCAGCTATGAAGCTCCCTTCAGAGAAGACTGAAAAGAAAGGAAAAGGCAGGAAAAGAGAAAGAAAACAGGAACAATGATTTCTACATCTGTTATGTCACCACACGTTACACATGTTGAAAGACAGCTGTGTTTATTTGTATTATATTTCTATGAGAAAATCTGTAGTGCCACTGCATAGTGGCTTCAGAGGTGGGGAATAAGGAGATGTCAATTAAAATAATCACCAGGACAGTCATGAGTGCTTGACTGAAATGGCTGAGATGAGAAGCTGAATGCATAAATGACATCTGGGGGTGGCAGGTCTGAGTGTGGCTGTTATATGATTCTAGCATAGGGCAGGGGAATTGAAAAATAAATCTCTTGTTAGGGAGAACACAGCATGAATCTTATGCTGACCTTCAAGATGGTAACTTGAGTATTGGAGAAAAATTAGTAGTTTAAGACAGGAGCGTTTTAAATGTTTGGAAGAAATAATAGATTTAGGGGGAGAATGAAAAGGGAAAAGAAACTGAGGAGAAAAATATTAACCTGGCACAGAAAGAGGGAAGATTAAAAAATGAAGGATCAAGATAGAGGAATAAATAGGATCAGGAGTATACATGTATTTGATGTTACAGTTTCTTTGTACCACCCTAGGTGGAATAAAAAAAATAATAAGGTAGGAAGATCAAAAGGAAAAGGAGCAGGGTAAAAATCCTTCCTTTTCTGAATAAAATTTGAGATTATAATGAGCTTCTAGCAATGATTAGTTTCATCACCAATTTAACTTGTTCTGAAAGAAGTACTGAAATTCCCAGAATTAGCAGCCCATGCAGCACAGTTTACAGGCTGATGCAAAAATTATATCTGAATACTGTGAGTAAATATGTTTCCCCTTTCAGAAAAAAATGTGTGTAGCATTATTGGGGGGGGGGGGGAAAGTGCTGCAGCAATTAAATTCCGTGCCAACATGGAGAGCTGTGCCTGCGGAGCCTGGCAGCCCAGCTCCTCTTCCGGCTGTCTGGCTCCTTTGGGATGGGTTGGTGTGGAGCTGCAGGGAGCATCTGGTTGGGTCCTTCTCTCTGGCCCTGTGCTGGGCTGGGTAGGTTTTACTGGTGTGTTATACACAGCGGGCTCAAGACTTCAGCCTCCGTGGCTGCCTACTGCCAGGATTAAAGTTTTGGTTGTCCTTGTTTCAAAGAAAGTCCAGATTATCTCCTGGTGTTTATCATGACGGGGAGCAGCGCAAGCTAAGGGAATAGGAAAGGGTGAGTGTGACAGTTAATTTATAAGGTTTGAGTTAGTCTGTTTAGTGTTTGTGACAGCTAAACTGTCAATTTGCCAGCTGCTTCTATTGAACAAAAATCATGGCTTTTATAGAGCTGCTTCTACCAAGTAAGTTGTGGGAACTGGCTTAAGCTGATTTACGTTCCTTTTTGCCATAGAAAGAGAAGTAACATAACCATACACCCTGGGCAAGATATTTATGAGTTGGTTCTTTCCTCTGATGATAACTTTTTTCTATATGAATAGTTTTCCTTTTGAGTGTTGAAAGAATAGTTTGACAGTTTCTGTAGCTGAGCAAGGAATCTCTAACCTACCTGCAGACATGTTGGTATTTGCATGACTTTCAAGACTCATAACTAAAGCATATTTCTTGTGACTTGTCAAGCTGCTGAATAATAATATGATAGAGATATTCATCAGCAATACTGAGAACCCCATTATGATTAATATATATTCAAGTATTCAATATATATACAGTATTCAAGATCTGTATCTCATTACTGTTACTTGCATACATGTATGCAAAACTCCTCCCAACGTTTGTACTGTGTTAAAGCAGAAGTGAACACTCAGCAAATACAAATCTGAAATACAGGACTATATGCTATGTTGGATTTGTCTCGAATCGTTTGGCACTCTATTTCTTTAACTGTTTGTGGACTGTGGTTCAGGGGTCTGTGTTGTCTTCAGCAGTTTCTCCTGGTAAAGCTGACACAAGCAGAGGGGAACTACTGCTGCCTCCCTTCTGCCAAGAAATGACATGCAAGTGTGTGGGCTGGCCTGTGAGGCGCGTGCAGAAAGCTCGCGCTGCAGCTCCCACTGATGGGATCTTACAGCTGCTGTTAGCCAGCCCCTCAGAAAGACATGAGTGGCCTTACAAAGAATAAATCCTTGTTTTGTCAAGACAGAGAAGTTTTTTATTACCCCAAGGAAGTCTAATCAGTGCTTCTCTATGACAACAAAAGGGAGAGTCTGATCCCATGACCAAGCCACTGCTCCTCAAATACGTCACCTCTCATGCACATTGAAAAGCCAGGCTGCCTCAAAATCTTAATTTGCTGGCTGTAAGGTTGTATAAGAAACAAAAACATAAGCAAAAGGAGCAAAGTTAGTTTCACTTTACTATCTCCTAAAGCGCAGCACTTTATTTTTGCCCGCAACAGCTGTTGCATAAATACTAAGGTAGACGAGGGGTGGATTTGCCAGGAATTTAGAAGAATTCCCAGTGAAACTACTATCTACAACCATGGAGCATAAGGCTTTTGTTTCTAGTCCCAGGATTCATCCTTACTTCCTGAATACTGTAATGCTTTTCCAAAGTCTCTCCTTTTCCAGCTGTTTCACCTCTCTTCCTATCCCAGGCTGGCGCGGGGGCTACAACCTCGCAGGGGTGTCCTGGGAGGAGGCCAATTCAGCCACTTGTTACCTCCTTGTCCATAGGTTACTGTAGGGTACAGCAGCCAGGGACCAGGTGTGCTGCCTACCGGTCACCCCTGCCTTTGCTTTGTGTTCCTTGAATTTGTTTTCTACCCTGAGCTAATATCAGAGAAGCCAGAAACACATTAAAAATCTTATTGGTGCCCCACATTCCTGACTGTGGGGTTGGGCTGCCTTGCTATTTTGCCTGTTTACTGGCTCCTCAACAGTTGACACACCAGCTAAGACTGAGATCTTATTTTTATATTTCTCATGGTTTCTACTATAAATGATGCCACTGAAACTCTAATTTCAGTCCATTAACTCCCCAGCAACACGAAACCCCTGACTGCCGGATGCTTCTGATGAGGAGGGCAGGTTTTCTGCCTCCTCTTCGACCTCGGCAGCTCCGCAAGCGCGGCCGATGTTCCGCATGTAGCACCGAAAGGCGAACGGCGGCAGTCACAGGCGACAAGGACCCGCGGGCAGCCCTGACATGTGGATGGGAGGGCGCGCGGCCAGCGCTGCACGCAGCGCCGCGGCCGGAGCTTCGGCGTGAGCCCCGTGCGTGTGCCCCGGGGCGGCCAAGTGCAGCGGCAGTTGCTGGGGAGCGCGGAGCTCCAGCTAGCGGGGGCTCTGGGGCCCGCGTGCTCCGCAGCCCCGTGCCCGGCGCCGCCTGGACGCTGCGCGGCGGAAGGGTCGTTCCGCGCTCTGGAGGCCCGGGGGCAGGCACATCCCTCAGGCAGCGGCACCCTGGCGGCCGCAGCCCCGCGCGGCCCGGCCCGCAACCCCGCCAGGCGGCCCGGCCTTACCGACTCGGCGAGCAGGAGCTGCCCCTTGCGGGAGCGCAGCAGGTCGTGGGGCGACAGGAGCGCGCGGAGCCCGGGCTCGGCGGCGCCCTCCGCTTCGGGCTGCTCCATGGCCCCGGCTTGCGAGCGGCGCCTCCAGCCCGCGCTCCAGTCTTTTTTTTTTTTTTTTTTTTTTTTTTTTTTTTTTTTTTTTTTCGTTTCCTCCTTTGAAGGAGGGAAACGGAAATCGTGACACTGCGGAAACGTGAAAAAATAAAAAAGTTGCAGCATCCCCAAAGCCGGGGGCGGCTCGAGGGGCTGCGCCCCGCGCCGCGCTCCGCCCGCGCCACAGGCGTCGCGGCAGCCGCCGCGCCCCGCGCCGGGCACTAACGGTCACTAGGGCAGCGCCTCGCGCCTCAGGGCGCCGGGCGGCAGCGCCCCGCACTAACGGTCACCAGGGCAGCAGCGCCCCGCGCCCCCCACTAACGGTCACCAGGGCAGCAGTGCCCCGCACTAACGGTCACCAGGGCAGCAGCCCCCCCGCACTAACGGTCACCAGGGCAGCAGCGCCTCGCGCCCCCCACTAATGGTCACCAGGGCACCACCCCGTGCCCCACACTAACGGTCACCAGGGCAGCGCCTCGCGCCCCGCACTAACGGTCACCAGGGCGGCAACGCCCCGCGCCTCAGGGCGCCGGGCCCCACAGCCCCCCAGGACGTGGGGACGAGAAGGTGTTGGTCACTAAATACGTGGTCCGAGACACCCGGGAGCCGCAAGGCGGATCCGCAGAGCGCGGAGCAAGAGTATGGGTGAAAAGAACCGCTCCCACGGGGGTTTGCTGGCACAGCAAATCAAGCAATTTTTACTGTATTTAATAAATATTGATAACTAATCTAGTTAGGCTCATTTGTATTTTCATTTTTTTATTAGAGGAAGACAATTTTAAGATTACATTTTAATCTGTGGGAAAAAAGTCTTTAGAAAAACTGTGATGCTTAAATCAGCAAAACTGCAACACTGAAAATACTTAAGTGCAAGAATTATTAATACTTAGGAACAATACTTGTGAAAAGGTAGAAAAATACACAGACAATTCAAAAGTGAACACATGAAAATACAAATTTTTTAGACGAACATGGTAACACAAATGCCTTATTGAACAATTACTCTTTAGCTAATAGAGAAGCTCTCATCTGGTAGGATAATTCCTTTCTCTGGGTCCACTAAGGCTGATCTTGCGGAAAAGAACAACTGCATCTACAATGCACAGAACAAGCAATACAAGGCCAAACACCTGCAAGTAACAACAATAAAGTTAGTTTTCTCATATGAGTCTCCTGTGAAATTTTATAATCCCTTTTACTGTAGTGACTCATCTACAGCTTCTCAAAGAAGCAGTGATTACATCTCTCCAAGCTGGTTCTGGCTTTCTAATTATATGTATGACTTGAGACAGCTGATAAATTAATTAAAGTTAACATAAACCTTTCATGTAAGTGACTTTCTTTTGATGTGATAATAAGTCTACACTCTGATTTTGTTTGATGTTTGCCTGAAGAGTTAGAAATAATGTGTCCTCCTTGAAAGCTACGCTAATGCTGTTTTATGCATGACAATGCTTTCATCCAAAATGAAAAATCTGCTGTTTCTTTAAGGGCTGCTCTACTTAATAGATCTGGCCGGAAGTCAACATTGATAGAAAAAGGCCTAGAATGAAAAAAAAAAATACTGCCTGTCTTCTCAGAAGCTCTAAATTAGAAACATACCTGAAACTGAGGAAAACATATATAAATATTTTAAAAATAAAGAGCTTCAGGCAGACAACTGGAAGGAAAAAAAGAAAAGCAGGTGTTTGCAAAATGCTGTCTCTCAGGATTCCCTGCAGAGCTGACTTTCTCAGCTTTTGCCTGTCAGTCTAGTTCCCCATGCATGCAAAACTTTTTCATTGAAGCATGTCAATATTTTGAAACTAAATTATCTGATCTGCTGAGAAAGGCTAAGGCAAGCTTTTCAGGAAGAGAGACCTTCAAAACAGTTCGTGCTCTAAGAACATGCCTAAGGGCAAGTCTGTTTCTCCTAGCATGAAAGATGTCAAATATTTTGCCCAAACTTGTTTGTTTCAAGCTATCCATTCAGTCTCCTGTCTTCAAATAGTCTTCTAACTTCTGAGTTTATTCTTCCATGACATTTTTTCCCCTGTTCTGCTCAAAATGCAAGTATACCACAAGATTCAAATCATGTCTCCCTTATGATTTAATAAATTAATTAGTAATTCTCCTACTTACTCCCCCAACCAGCGTCCCATAGTTTGTCTTGATTATTATGGCAAACAGGCACACAATTAGGAGAAACACAGCTGCAATCACCGAGTTGAAAATGTCCTGAAAAAAGCCAGTGGAAGCAAAATATTTATTCTGTAATACATACCTAAAGAAGAATATGAATAGCTCCGAAAGTAGTGTGAGTCATTAAAAAATAGTTGTCTTACTCTATGAAAACCAGATTAAACTAATACTCAGTTATGATCTACAGTGACACCCAGTGGTTTGATGTTAAAACGAGCACTGATGATCTATCTTCATTTGATTTTTTTTCTAGCAGTGAAATCTACAAAATCAGAGTATAATGTGACAGATTAAAACAGGAGTTTAAAAAATAGAAGGTAATAGAATTCATTATTATCTAAATACAAAGATGTGTTTAATTTGTGATGGGTAAAGTGACAATAAAATCTAATAAAAACAAATGAACTTTATTAGTGGACAGACTGTTAACTGCGATAAACATATTATTACAGAATTTATGCAAAAGAACATGATCTCTATAGGGAAAAACTGGTGTGAAACCAAAGTACTACTTGTGTTTTATCTGTATAGAAATCATGACAGAACCAAAGGAAAAGATCTTCCGTGTGTGCTTCCATGCACAGATCCAGTTCGTTTTAAGAAGGGCACCCCCATACTTACAGCCAGAGGCCAAAAGAGCCATTTCATCTTTTTATCTAGTTTTAGTAAGTACAGGAGGAAAAACAGCAAGGTGACGATAACTTCGATGACCGCAAGCGCCGTGTAGGCTTCGTGGGACCGTGAAACAACAAAGCAGATGAAGGCGGCCAGAGCCATGAGCTGAAGGAGCAACAAACGACAGGAGCGTTGGCGGCCGTTACCCGTCGCTAACGGCGCCTCCCGCCGCTCCCGCCCCCGCTGCGGGCGCTCGGGGCGGCTCGCGCGGGGCCCGGCGGGTGGCCCGAGGGGCGCCCCGGTGGCGGCGGCTCAGCAGGGAGCCCAGCGCTCCCGGCCGCCTCGCGCAGCCGCGGCGCGCGCCTCCCCAGCGCTCCCGACCTCCCCGACCCGCTTCTGCTTTTCCGCCGCAGCCGCTCCCGCCGCGGCTGCGGGGCCCAGCCCCCCGCAAGTCCCCGCGCGGCGCCTCCCGTCCCGTCCCGCCCCGTCCCCGCCGCCCCTACCATGCGGGCGATCTTGATGGCGCCGCGCGGGGAGCGCGGGTAGCCGCTGTCCACCGTCCCCATGGCGGCGGGCGGGCGGGGCGGGGCGGCGGCGCAGGGCGGGGCTCAGGGCGGGGCGACGCCTTTAAAAGACGGAAGTGGGCGGCCGGAAGTGGAGCTGCGTTCGTGCCTGCGCGCGGCGGCCATGGGCCATGTGGCGGCTGGGCGCGGCCTGGGCGCGGCGCGGGCTCCGCCGCGGGGCCGCGGGACCCGCCGCGCCGCCGCCGCCCGCCCCCTGGGACCTGTCTGCGGAGGGCGCGGAGCGGCCGCGCCCGGCCCCGGCCCGCAGCGGACAGTGTAACGGGGGCGGCCGGGAGCGGGGCCGGGGCGGGAGGGGTGGCGCGCGCCGGTAATGGTTAATGACGGCAGGAGCCGGAGAGCCCAAATGGCCTGTTCGGAGACAGTGAGTGGTGCAAAGGCCTTGCGCACAGAGCCTTTGCACGTGCAGTACCGAGCCGCGGGGCAAGCGTCTGAATGGCTGGTGTTGGTGGCGCCTTGAAACGTCCTCCTTTCTCGAGGCTTCATAGCTAAAGCCGCGGGGTGGCGGGCGGGGGCCTGGCTGCCTGGCTTAAGAAACCAGAGCACCAAACCCAGCTTTGCAGGAATGAGAGCGACGTGAGGAGTGTGCAGCCGAGCGCTGCCCTGGCCCCGGCACCGCCCGTCAGCCCCGCGGTGCCGAGGGGCACGCAGGGCTTGGCTGCCCAACGTCAGTGTTGGGTAGATTACCCCGGAGAACCCGAAAAGCCCTGAAGTGAGCAGGAATAGTGTGATTGTGGGCTGTGAAGATCTGGTTTTTGGTTATAATCTTACGTATTTTAATTCTAGATAAACAGCTGATAAAAGGTGAAGATAAAAAGAAGGTAATTAGCATTTGCTTTTTGCTCGGAAAGCTGTGTAAAATGTGCAGTCTCTTTTATGGTCAAAGTCTGTCTGCAGCTGTTGGCACTGAGTGGTGCCCGGGTGGTGGGTCTCTTACTGAGTCTTACTCAGTGCACACCTCTGATCTAATTTGGTAGCTTACAGTACAATGAGGAGGGACTTGTGCAATGAAAAGTTGCAGTACTAGATCAAGTGTCATATATGTATAGAATATTAGTTCTCCTTTACAACTCGTGTTTTTGTACATTTTAGTAGCTAAATTGCTGTAATTGGAATCTAATTGTTTAAAGCTGCAATTTGTAGGACAGTTTAAAAAAAATCCTTAATTTTAGAGACCTGTCCAGTTAAAACAAGCTGTTTAATGAATCTTGTTGTTCAAGAAATGTATTTAATGGCTGTTGAAATGATTGCTGCTGCTGGCCCTTAGTACAACCCAGAGCTGGGTGTGCTGGGCTGCAGCGTGGCTGGCAGTGGCAGCGGGTGACCCCCGGTTGGGAGGGGGGCCTTGGGCAACTGGATCTCCAGGGGGGAGCTCAAGGGGAGGCTGCCCCTTGCCTGGGAAGGAGCTGGGGCACGGTGACAGGGAGAGAAAAAAGTGCCTGTGGGGAGTCCCGGAATCCAGATTGTTGCCCTGAGGCGTCCTGTAAAATACTGCGCTGAAGCTATAGGGAATTTAGGTACTTTACAGAGAAAAGGAACAATATGGAAAAAAGGGTGTGTTTGCATATGCATTCATTTCTTTGCAGTAGCATATCTGCTTTTCAAATATGATATTGTTTTTCATCAGATATGCATCGAGGGGAATATTGCGAGTGGAAAAACAACATGCCTGGATTATTTTGCACAAACTACCAGCATTGAGGTACTGATTTTTATTTGTTTTATGTTCATTTACATTAAGAGGTCATTTAATCTGTAGGCTAGAGTTTATTCTTCTGTAGATTAGCAGCAACCCAAAATACACTTGCTTGCTTTCTTAGGTAACAAAAATAATCCTAGATATATGTTGTAATAATCAAAGTCATAATGATGAAGACTATTGATGTCATGTAACTCACAGCCTGGTAAATGGATAGCTTTAGAAAAGAATAAAACTTTTATAATTGTTCTTGGGAGATCTCATATTCTCTAGACAGAACAAGATTAGAGGGAAGGCAAACTTAGTGTTTCTTAAATATTCAGATCAGACTTCACTGTCCAAAAGTCTTGATGTATTTTGGATGTTAATATTTTTTCCAGCAGACCTGGGAGAACTTTGGATTAAGTCTTAGGACTTCTCATAGAAGTGCTGGGTTTCAAAATGCTGTTTGGTAACTTAGCAGTGATGATGGTTATAAAGTAAATAACTCTTAAGCCAAGAGATACCAAACTTTGCATGTGGTGCATTTTTTTTAAACTTCTGGGTAGTTCCGTCTTACCAGATATTTCTATACCTGGGCCCACAATATTGCTGGAATCAGATAAGTCTCATGTGGTTTTACCTATTCTGGGTAGAATTTTTTCTCATTAATTTTAATTGAATTTTAAATGTGTCTTGTTTTTTAGATCACAGAATCAAAGTGGAAATACTTAGAATGTCATATTTATCCTTGCCTTCAGTTTTTTAGTTAACCAGTGTTATTCTCTGGGAAATTAATTTGTGAAGAAATGAGCAAGTTGTTCAAAAGAAAGGCAATCAGTACTTAGCCATCCTTTCCCCTATGGAAGCTTACTTCTAAATGACTTTGAGAATTATATCCAGACCTGTTGTGTAAACAAGCCAATGTTTTGTTTTTGGTGTTTTAAAAACAAAAATAGGGTTTGTTGTGAAATTTTCCTTTAGTTTTTAACAGCATCAATTATTGCATTCTGTACTTTAGGATTGCCATCCTTTTGAAAAGGAATAAAGTGTCCAGAACATGTTTTGAATAATTTGTTCAGTTATTTGCTCATTTAAAAATAATCCTAGACATACATAGTCGAGGATTTGAAATCTCAAGCATGTTTAACACAGAATGCGTTTTCACTTATGTGTGTGTCTCTTTTTCCCTTTGTATATGTAAAAGGTTTTGACAGAACCAGTGGCTAAATGGAGAAATGTTCGTGGTCATAATATTCTGGTACGTGGCAGAAATGAATTCTCTTAGAAAAAGCCGTGCATGAACTCAGACCAGTGAGTAAAACTGATAGAAAGGGTGTGGTTGTAATTTCAGAATATTTCAGAATATTTCAGAATATTTCAGAATATTTCAGAATATTTCAGAATATTTCAGAATATTTCAGAATATTTCAGGTTGGAAGGGACCTCTACAGATCATCTAGTCCAACCTTCCTGCTCAAGCAGGCACACCTAGAGCATGTGGCACAGGGTGGCATCCAGGCGGGTTTTGAAGACCTCCAGAGTAGGAGACTCCACAACCTCCCTGGGCAGCCTGTTCCACTGCTCTGTCACCCTAACAGTAAAGAAGTTGCTCCTCACCTGGAGACGGAACTTCTTGTGCTTCAGTTTGTGGCCATTACCCCTCGTCCTATCGCTGGCCACCAGTGAGAACAGCCTGTCCCCTTCCTCCCTGCATTCTCCCTTCCTGAACTTATACATATTAATCATATCCCCTCTGAGCCGTCTCTTCTCCAGAGAAAACAGGCCCAGCTCGCTCAGCCTCTCTTCATACGAGAGATGTTCCATTCCCTTAATCATCCTGGTTGCCCTTCTCTGGACCCTCTCCAGAAGCTCCACGTCCTTCCTGTACTGGGGTGCCCAGAACTGAACACAGTACTCCAGGTGCGGCCTCACCAGAGCTGAGGAGAGGGGCAGAATCACCTCCCTTGACCTGCTGGCAACGCTCCTCCTGATGCAGGCCAGGATGCCATTGGCCTTCTTGGCCACGAGGGCACACTGATCACTCATGGTTAACTTAGTGTCAACCAGGACTCCCAGGTCCCTCTCCGTGGAGGTGCTTTCCAGCAGGTCAAGCCCTAACCTGTACTGATGCCTGGGGTTATTCCTCCCCAGGTGCAGGACCCTGCACTTGTCCTTGTTGAACCTCATGAGGTTCCTCTCTGCCCAACTCTCCAGCCTGTCCAGGTCCCTCTGGATGGCAGCACAGCCCTCCGGAGTGTCGGCCACTCCACCCAGCTTGGTGTCATCCGCAAACTTGCTCAGGGTGCATTCCGTGCCCTCGTCCAGGTCATGGTAATCTGGTAGAGCTAAAAATATAGCTCATGATGCAAAATTTCTTATAGGTTTAGGAGATGCATTAGGCACACATTGTATGTAAAATGTGGTTTTCAGCAAGTCTCGATCTTTGGGTAGCTTAGTGCTGATGGCCAGTGCACTCACACAACAGTTATCTGCAGAATTATGGAACTTGATCAAGGCACTGGTGTTTGGCTGCATGAAAGGGGCTGTAGAGAGGAGTTCAGACAGGCCACTTGATTGTATTGAGAGTCTATCAGTGCACAAAAATATATAGCAGATAGATTCTTTTAATTATTACATGTCTTTAAGCAGTCTCAAACTATACTTTAGTGTGATTGTCTCAGGTACAAAGTAACTGTGATTCTGAACTGCATATAGTGAGCATCCCCAGCATCCTATGTTGATGAAGACTGGGACTGTGCTTTGAGGAGAGCAAATGATTTATTCATTTAATTCTTGTCAATTCTGATATCAGCAGCTTTAGTAATTCTGTTACTTCTGGCAATTCTGTTGTAGTGCAAGTGTTTATGAAATAAACAACTTTTTTCTTCTCTGTTCAACCTAATGAAAAAATTGCCTGCCTTTGCGTTCTATGCCTAACCCCAGGGCTTAATGTACCAAGATGCATCAAGATGGGGGATAACATTACAGACATACATACAGCTTACCATGTTGCAACAGCATACCAGACCAATGGTAACTAACTATATTTTTTAATTAAAATATCTCGAGATAGTAAGGTGTAGCTGTGGGTAATATTTTCGTTAACCTTGTATCCAAAAATCAAGATGCTGTTTACTTTAATTCTTTGCCTCTGTGGTGAGCATGAATTTGTGTAGTCCAAAGACAATGTTGTTATGCTCAACACATGCTCAGAGAGACATGGGTCATCTGCTTCATACCTGTGCTGAGCTTTTATTCTCTGCTAGTTAACATCTTCACCTGCTGGATTGAATGCTTCTTTTGAAACTTGCTTATGAATAAGTTTAGTTATGTGGGTACTTGATAATGCAGTGACCATAAGTGATATTAATAAAATTTATTTTTCATGTTTTTTCCCCCCAAAGTGATCTTTTTTTTAATCACAAGAGCTGGAAGAATTGAAAGTATATGTGTTCTATAATGGAAAAGACATGCTGTGCATTATAAGCTTGAAAAGCAAGTGTGCTGGGAAATTAAAACTGGTCAGTAACTATAATTTTATTTTGTAGATTTCCTCTGTAAGAATGATGGAGAGATCAATTCACAGTGCAAAATACATTTTTGTAGAAAACTTGTATCGAAGGTATTTACATGGCTTTCTGCTTTACTTGGCTTAATTAGAGTTCTCTTGTTTTGTAATAGCCTTTAAGCCTCTTAGCCTGTGAAACCTGTCAGTTCCATTGTGAAGTGGCAGTGCATGGTGCATAGGGAGTGTTGACATTATCTCTAAAAGAAACCTGCTAGAATAAGAACAGCAGCACGTGGGCCAGACTTAAGTGTTCTTTAGGGGTACATGGTATTTAAAACCCCATTCGTGGAAGTTACCTGCTCTCCAGATGAATACAGAGGTCTTTCTTGAATCAAAGCAAGCAAATACTGATTGCATCAAAGACATGGTGACAGAGTGAGTAACATGGGGGAAACTAGGCAGGCAGTGATTACCCAGCTTCACATCCAGGATCACTATCACTTGTAAATAGGAACCTAAGCAGTAAACCTTCAAATCCTCTTATTGCTCATATTTAGGTAAAAAAGAACCCCTTGTTATGCTAGTGAGTAATGGAAAAGCAAGAACTGTTTTCCTGTAAATGTCATTTTCTGTATTAGCCCTGTTTCCTTTTTCTTCATATCTTGTGCTCCTGACCATAGCTTACACATGCCTCGTGTTGGGCCTGTTCTAGAACAAGCAGGCCCAGGTTATTTCAGGAACAATATTTCAGGACTTTTTTCTCATCAATATTTCTTTCAGTGAGAGTAAACATTATTTATCTTGTGTCATTATTTTTTTCCACTGTTTCGGTTTCCCTAATGACCTGTCAGTGCTACTTAGTAAATCAAGTCTTTTTGGTAGTATGCAGCAGAGTGGTTCAGATATTTGCAGTGTTCCTGATGTAAAGAACATTAGTAATAAATGTCGTTGATGCTAATTTGTTTTTACTGCATAAATGTCAATATGATCTTTTTCTTAGTCATCAAATAGTTATTTCTTGAGTGTAGTACGAAGATCATTAATGATGGCAACTGTTATTGATACTGTGATATCATATCAATGATAATGTCATGATAATGACATTGTACTTGTAAGTAATTTATTTTAAAAATTATTTTAAACTTTTTTATCGTATGAACAACGCTTTATGACATCTTTAATGTGGGTGGCAATATTGGCCTGAGTCTTATTTTATGCATGCTGAAATATATTGGGAATAATTTTAGTTAGATGGAAAAAAACTTGTGTGTGTATTGATTTCTGCATATTGTTCAATGAGTTCTGTTGATGAGTTCTGTTATGTTTATTCAGCGGAAAAATGCCAGAAGTGGATTATGTTGTCCTGACTGAGTGGTTTGATTGGATCAAGAACAACACGGATGTGTCGGTTGATTTGATAGGTAAAATTATGATGGGATATTGAGGGATAGTCTTGGGCAAAGTTCTTTGTTTTACTGGGAGGCAAGAGAGTTTCTTGGGTCATTGTTTATGCAATGTGATAATACCCGTGATGTGTAGCATCAGAAAACATCAGTTTATGGATGGTTCATGAACTTATTAGCAGTGATGCCTAAGTGGACTTCAGTGGTGGTACCTAAGTCTATATTTTTTCCATCTCTAATATTTGAAGTAGGTTTCTTCTTTGCTTTCAAAGCAGGTCCTTAAACAGAAATACTGTATTTTTTTTATTATGGCAGTCTATCTGCAGACTTCTCCTGAAGTTTGTTATGAGAGATTAAAGAGAAGATGCAGAGAAGAGGAAAAGATCATTCCTTTGGTAAGAAGTTCCTTCAACACTGTGATTACAATGAATTTGAATTACCATAACTTAAAAATATAATGAATATATATATCTGTCTTGTAAAATCTTAAACCAGATGGTATCTCTAGGAGGGAAGCATGGGTTTTGATCTTACAGCATGCTCAGAGCTGCTGATTTTTTTTTTTTATGGAGTACAACTTTGCTTTGAGTAGAACTCACTTTGTCAGAAACTTTCTGGTTCTTTGTAGATTTGTCAACAGAAATATCTAGCACTGTCTTTCATGTGTATTCCTTAATATACTGGAACTGCAATGTGTTTTGTTCCTATAAGTATATATTGTTTGAATATTTGTTTTCTAGGAATATTTAGAAGCTATTCATCTTCTCTATGAAGAATGGCTCATTAAACGGACACTTTTTAAAGTTTCTTGTCCTGTTCTTGTGAGTATAATTTTAGTTATAACCATTTAAGGATGAAGATTATACTCTTAGAATATCAGAAGTGTTATGTAGTGGTAAATCTGCTTTTATAGTAATATTTTGAAGAGGAGTATCTTCATGTTTACAATATCTGAACTGTATATCATTGAAGTACTGTCTTTCTGCTAGGTGAAATTGACAGGTTGTTCACTGTGAGTATACGTGTGTGGGATCTTACCGGTAGCTTTTCTGTGAATGTCATTGAAAAGCGCCAAAAAAAAAAAAAAGAGAAAAAGGATTTCTAGAAGAATTTCAGTTTAGTTTCAATCATAGTCTTCTATTTTGCTTGAGATCAATCATGTTTTACAGGGTCTTTATTTCTAATGCTTGCATTCTTGGTTTCAAGGTTATTGGAGCTGACCATGACATGCAGAAAATGATACAAAAGTATGAAGAAAATCGGGACCAAATACTAAATCCATATAACTTGCAGCACTGTTTATAGAAGTCTGTTACTGTATTCTAAAAATTGTGGTTATGAAGTCTGATTTTGGGGGAATTTCTGTGAGTGTTTGCAGTACTTCCTAACATAACAGTTTTTTTGCTTTAGAATTACACTTTGGAAGATGTAGACTTGTGCTATGAAATGTCTACAAATATTTCATAAATAGAATATAAGCTAATTAAGTTTACCACTTCTGTCTGGCTCTTCTATGGGTCTTGCTTTCTGTCATTGCTGCTGAAATGCTTCCTAGAAGTAACCTGTTTTCTTTTGTTAATGACAATCCTATTTTTGCAATCTGGAAGAAACTGTTACATATGAGAGGTGAGATGTCTTCTATTAGAAGCACCAAGTGAAGTACATTAAGTAAACTTTGTTATTTCATGATATATCTTACTCTAATCCTGCTTATATTAGTGTAATCTTATTGAATTCAGTAAGCTGCTTCTGATTTACGTAAAATCAGAATGAAATTTTAGTCCTGTAGATACCTGTGAGGTGGTAGTCTCACTGAATTCAGTGGCACTAAAAGAATAATGTAAAATGAAGAGGTGTTTGCAGAATGGGTCTAAGGAGTTTTTATAGATATTTTTTTAGAAGAGCTTATTCCATAGTAGTTCTCATCAAAGTACCATGGCCAAATTGAGGACTAGTGAAAATACAGGGTGCACAGAATGGTATCTCTTCCTTTCAGATGGTGATGTAAATATTATATTTTCTAGCTATTTTGGCTTTTTAGATTACTTGTTTTCATGGAGAACTGTTTTCTAGAGAGCTGAAGAATGCAGTGGAGACTTTATTCTTGTCATGATATTGGCGAAATTGCTGAATTGCTCTTGATTTCTGCTTTGCCTGTTTGAGTGTGCATAGTGTTCAAGTTCATGGATTGGAAAGCTATAGAACTCTAGCATAAACATTTTAAGTAATTACAGTTAATGAAGCTTATGTGGTGGGATGGTGGTTTTTCTTGAGCTCTCCTTGAAGTGTCCAGTTCTCTTTCTTCTGAAGGAGACCTAAAGAATTATTTCCAAGGAAATAGTTTGTAAGTTTCATCTGCAGTTTCTTTCCAGCTCCAATTTGATTATGGATTTTAGAAGTAAATGATATGTATTTGCAGGGTAATGACAGTTTAGTAAAGTGCACTTTATTTGTTTGTTAACAAAAAAATAAACTTATTCTGGCTTTTAAAAGCTACTTATTGATCAGATTTCTTTGATTTTCCTTTTTTCTTTATTATATGAGAATAACAGTTTGGAGTATAAATTATATAACATTCTTAAAATCTGCAAGTGTAAAGGCTACAGAGAATATAACGATTTTAGTTTCTGTTGTGTATACATTTGCATACAAGAATCTTGGGATATTTAATGAGAATGGGGAGCAAAAAACAGGTTGCTTGGTTATGTGTTTTAAATGTATTTTTCAGTCTGTATGGATGTGTAGATAAAGTATGTGGAGATTAAAAGTATTTAAACAACCACAAATAGGTGTTTTAAGCCTTTCATTTCCTCACTTGGAGGAGAAAAAAAGGGTATTTGTCATTAGCCTGGTAAGTATTTTATTTTCTGACAATGATTCTCTGCAAGGCACAAAATAACAGTAGGCACTTTATTTCCGCATACTGAACTTCAAAATCAATGGAATGGATCATATAAACAAATCACAACTTATATTTTTTGTCCATACTTTAAGAGAGATTGGCACACTTTAACTTAGTTGTGCTCTGTAAGGATCTGAGCACCATTTTAATAAGTGCTGTGTATATTTACACCTGGAAGTGATCTCTGTCTGGAGATGTACGAAGCTCGAATGGGAGAGTGACAAACGGGAGGAGCTCTTGTCTGTACTACTTGCGTTTTTGTGCCAAAGGGCTTCTGAGTTGGATCCTTTCCTACATCCTAAAGCTTTGGTAACTGATGTATGTCCCCACTGCCTTCCCCACTATTCCCTTTTTGCAGTAAGTATTGAAGTGTTAAGGATTTCACTGCGAGCATGCTGCTTGGTATATTCTATCCCATTTCTAACTTGAGACCTCAGAAACTGCCATTTTACAGGAAGACTTAAAGGTGCCCATGAATAGAGAATTCAGATGAAAATAACACAGATTTTGAGGGGACAGGGCCTCCATATGGGCAGAGAGAGAACAATTAATAGTCCTGGTGAGTTTGCTGTTAAGAAATTTCTTTTTTTGATCTAGGTATACAGACATTATCAAATACTGAATTCTTGGAATGTGGCCATTTTATGTTCCATTTCATATACAGGTTTTGGGCAACTGCTTGTTTAGTGGGCTTTGTTTAGAAACAAATATTAATATCCTCAATCATAATATCTCCTTGTTTTCCTGTGATTTGGTGGAGTTGAGGCGCAACATAAAGCGAGCTAGGGCTGTGCTTGCTCTTCTGGAATACCCTCTGTAGCTGTCTTTTGTTTTATGCTTGCCAGGTTACTCCTAAACTTTTGGGCACAGGAGATCCAGCTCCAAAACTGCTCAAAATAGGACAATGTGAAAGATCTAGGTACCTGCCTAAAGACTGGCAATTTTGGGAGAGGTTTATGAGGAGGAATTAGTATTCTGAGACTTCCAGCACTTTACACAGTAGATGTTAACTGAACAAAGGTTTTAATGAAGGCCAGAAATAAAATTGTTATGGAGTGAAGTGATGGCCTTCAGTTTCCTTGCACTTTGGCTCTTATGCAAGTGCTATTAATTACTCTTCCTCATTGGAATTTAGTAAAAATAATGTGATGACAGGTATATGGATACTGTAGAGTTGGTAGTTATCTAAGTACTTCAGAGAGTATCTTCATTTGTGATGAGAAGTTTTGCAATCTTAAATGAGTTCTGGAACAATTAACAAAACATGATTTAAAATACAACATTTTAATAACCCCCCACAGAGGGGAAGATTATTAGCAAGAATACAAGTAGGTATGCCAAAGAAAGGAAAAACAAGGGTACAGTGATTTATGTATGTATATTTGCATATATTTGCTTTGCCCTAAATTCCTACTCAAAGCTGAAGGCAGACTTGTTGCTTAAAATGAGCTTTGAAGCAAATACAGCTGCATTTCCTGATCTAAATGCAAAATGTATTTAAAAGTTATATTAAATACTTTTCCAGCAAGGCGTTGAGGTGACCGAGGTTCTCAGTGTTAGGATTCCAATGGCAGTTGCACATATAGTTGAGATGATAGTGACCATCTTGCTCCCTCCCTCTCCTCAGCTCAACCCTCTTCACATACCACTTACACCTACAGCACATCTGCCCCTGTATTTAGCGAGGCCATTCTGATTCTCACCCCACCTTCCCTCTGCCCATTGCAATGCTAAGAGTAGGGCTAATCATCTTGCTGAAAAGATGAGTAAGGCCACAAGTGAGGAGGAAAAAGGCAAATAATGCAGCAGTAGAATTAAGACATTCCCTGATCAATTTTGTCAACAATGACATAAGGCTCCTGGATTTCATTTATTTTTAAATGACTCTCCCCCTTTACTTCAGTGGATACAGCACAGTCTCCTTCAGGCTGCAGCAACCAGTTTCTTCTACCATGTGAATGAGGGCTAGTGGTGTGTGGAGACTGGACATGAATACTTTGTGGTGGGATGTAGGTGGGATTGGGTGGCTCTCTAATGTGTCTGAAGCGTCCACAAGCTGTGTGAGTGGCAGGACTATCCATTAATAGTCTCTTATTCTCAGATCCATTGGTGGGATCCTCCCTGTTCCTAACAGAACAGTATAGTCTTGAAGATAGTCCAACATGTGCAGCTGGACTACTCTGCATCTGAGCATTACTTGGGTGTGCACGTTTTATTTTAGAATCATTAAAATCTCTTACACTCCTGTCTCTTGTAGTTCCATACGCTGTTGACTCAGGTTGCCCAGTTTCTTCTACTGGATACATCAGCTCTTCTTGAGCTTCCTTGATTTGTACTTTAGTAAAGGTTAAAGACAGCTCAGAGATTTCCTTATCCTTTGTGACCGTCTGGTCTGGAACAGATATAATATCTTCATATGGCAGAGATTTCAGCTCACTGGGTTCATCTACAGGGTCTGGGTCTACGCAGTTTATAGCATCACTAATTTTTGCCTCAATTGATTCTTCAGGGACTACTTGAGCTTTGTAGTCCAGACTGTTTTTATTGTCAAAAGAGCTGTCAGCAAATATTGCAAAGGCAGGTAGACCACTTGCTCCTGGCAAGAGTGGCACAGATGGGATCTCATTTTCAGTTGGCTGTGCAGTGACTGCCAAAACACATTCTTCACTTAAACTGCCTCCTGGCTTTTTTTCAAAAGCTTTTTGAGAGAGATTCTCACTGAAAATAGGTGTTTGTCTTATGACAATGTCACTATATTTGATCAAGAAGTCCTCGCTGTCTGAGCATTTGCCCGGAAAGGGTGTTGTGTTGGTGACTTGCCTTTGATGTTCCTGAAGCCTGTTAGTGGATTGAGTAGCTGCTAAGTGAGATCTGTCATCTTTGATCTTAAGGTTCTTGGCGTCTTCAAAGGATTTATCACTGTTAGTTGAAGACTTAGGCTGAGTAGCAAAGCACAAAGGTGTCTCGCTGTTTTCTTTGTTTTCCAGATTTTCAGAGTCTTTTCTTGGGAGTGTCTGATCCTCTTTGTCCCCATCTCCCTGATGCCAAAGCATCTGTGTTCCCTTCTGCAGGGTCTTCTCCAAATTGCCTTGTTCTTCGTCCTTTGTCATTTCAAGGATGATTTCACACTCGATTCTTGCCAGGAATATTTCAAACGCAGTCTGCTTTGTTTCCTCATTGTTTCTCTTTCTTACAAGTGAAAACTCTGTTGATGTTGTTGCAACGTAGCCTATTTTCTCCAGTACTGTTTTTAGTATGTCATCTGGGAGCACAGATTGAATATAGTAGACAAAATTACCAGTGAACGTCTGAAACAGAATGGAAGATTGAGAAACAGATGAACACTGACAAACCCATAAAGGGCAAGAGACTTCTTAGAAAACGAACTTTTACAATTAAGTTTTTCAGAAAGTATTTTCCTAAGAGTCTTGCCGAGTTTTGAACTAAGTGAAGTTTTTCCAATAGTGTTATTCTTGTCACCCTTTCAAATGTTAGAGCTTTAGTGCCAACATAGTAATTTCTGGGGAGTCATGCCACTTTAAACTAACTGGCATACAGGCCCATAGCTGCAGTATTTAAAAGAAGAGAGATAGTGGTCCAACTAGAAAAATTCAGAATAAAAAGACTGTGTTCCTTTAAAAAATGTAAGATTTCTCAAGAAATGAATTCATGAAATAAATCACCGAGGTCTAACCTTTTCCTAAAGGAAAAAACACAATACACTCATCTTACTAGTCATGTTATTTAATCTGTGATGACACTATCATTTTCTCCTTGGCTTAGACTTCTGCTTTAACCTTACTAAACTTACAGGATTAAGTTGCCATTTCTTTGAAAACACCTTTTACATCAAAGGAGTGTTCTAGAGGAGGAGCTAAAAAATGCATGCCTTGCACAAACTCTTCAGAATTTCACTTGCATAAATGTTGCTACTGTGGAACAGCTAAGAAATTGTTGAATGCTTTGCTCCATTTTGGAGCTAAGGCAGAAGGTCTAGATTTTAAGATGAAATTGTTTTGGGTTTTGTGTAAAACCCTGTGACGAGAGGTGTTGACCAAAGCATGAAGAGCATCTCCTGGCAAGTCAGGCCAGGATAGAGCGAGAAACACAAAGTCAACAATTTCACAACTTGTGTTCCATGTTTTTAGGCTGACCTTGAGACAGACTTAGGTACTTCATAACACAAAGTCTGATATAAAAGTGGTCCCATAAATACAAGATTTGGGAGCAGAACAAAGCAGACCCTGCAGGAAGGCTTTAACGCAGAGGCTGTAATGCAAGGTAGGGCAGTTTGTTTTCAGCTGAAGCTGTCAGTGACTTTCGTGCCCCGGGTGCCCCCAGCAGGGACGCAGGCGCTCTGGGTGTTGTTGTCGGCGGTGCCCAGGAGGCAGCAAGCAGGCGGATGGAGGGGGCGCCTGCTCCGTGCCTGGGGCACGGACACGGCTCCTTCTTCAACTTGTGCCATTCGGGGCGCAGTCGTTCCAGGACTGCAGCCGGCTCTGGCAGGTTCCCTGTGTCTTGCACTCTGGTTTACATACATTTCCTGGATTTTTATTTTCTCTAGAACCGTCATGTTCTCAAAAGTTGTTTTTAATGACAGTTGGGTTTCTGGTTGCTTGGAAAGTTGAACCCATTCCCTGTGGGAGTTAGATGTGGGAAACAGAAACCTGCAGTTGCCTTAAGCCCACTATGCTCCCTGAAAGAGGAAGCTGGACAGAAACCGCTTCCCCTGAGCGGCATCTGCTGCTGTAGGAGGGGAAGCAGACCTGCCTGTGGGTTCTGGGGGACTTTGCTCAACACCAGGCACCTCTGCTCTTCCTCCTCCTCCTCCTCCTCCTGCGCGTCCCGGCCGCTCGGGCCTGGCGGCACCCCTACCTTCAGCGACTGGATCTCCTTCCTCCAGGGGCAGAGCAGCAGGTTGACGCAGAGCAGCTCCAGCACCTCCAGCGCCTTGAGCAGGTCGCGCAGGAGGCCGCGGCCGCAGCCCTGCGCGCGGCGGGCCCGCCGGCACCGCTCCGCCACGCCGCACACGT